TAGATAGATAGATAGATAGATAGATAGATAGATAGATAGATAGATAGTGGATGGATGGATGGATGATAGGTAAGTAGGTAGATAGACAGACAGACAGATGATAGATAGGTAGGAAGGATGATGGATGGATGGATGCTAGGTAGGTGGATGGATAGAGGGAGGGAGGATGGATGGATGGATGGATGGATGGATAGATAGATAGATAGAGGGAGGATAGGTAGGAAGGAAAGAAGGAAAGAAGATAGATAGGTAGATAGATAGATGATGGATAAGATGATAAACTCAATTTACCCACTTCAAAATGTAGATAATTCCCCATAGGCATCTTTCCTGCATAGACAACATACTACAGCTATTCCTCGATTTAACAGAGCCCAAAATTTCCGTTGCTAAGCGAAATAGTTGCTAAGTGAGTTTTGCTCCATTTTAGGTGCCATTCTTGCCACAAATGTTAAGCGAACCACTGCAGTTGTTAAGTGAGTAACATGGCTGTTGAGTGAATCTGGCGTCCCATTTGACCTGCAAGTCCAGACCTCCTGTATAGCACCATCAAACTTGCAGGATTCTGTAATTCCAGCCCATCCCAATGAAAAATAATCAAGGAACCACCAAGATCACTCCCCACCAACACACACTGAGTAATTCAATTGTATATAAACAGAGAGCAAACCGCACTCCCTTCCAGCACTGATGATATTACCTCGATGGGTAATGAAACGTCTGCAAGAAAATAGCCCAGCTCAGAAAACACCAAGGACCCCATAAATTATTGTATATATCTGCCTGCTTTGCGTTTCCAGGATGTGGGGTCTCAAGTTTTGAGGAATTTGCCTTATGCACATACACACCATCATTTAGACACACATATATACAAATACACACACACATCCCATTGTCTGTCTCCCAGCCGTTGTTACTTCCAAAGTTTTCTGTTCACTTACTACACAATTTTGCTTCAGATTCACTAACTGGGGTTGAAGAAACTCCATTAAAGCAGGGGTGAAATCCAGCAGGTTCTGACAGATTCTGGAGAACCGGTAGCGGAAATTTTGAGTAGTTTGGAGAACCGGCAAATGCCACCTCTGGCTGGCCCCAGAGTGGGGTGGGAATAGAGATTTTGCAATATCCTTACCCCAGAGAGGGGTGGGAATGGAGATTTTGCAGTAGCCTTCCCCTGCCACGCCCACCAAGCCACACCACGCCCACCAAGCCATACCCACAGAAGCGGTAGTAAAAAAAAATTGGATTTCACCCCTGCATTAAAGATACTGTCATCCCTGATCATTTGAAGTGTTAAATACCATTTTATAACGCCTTGGTATTTTATAATGCCTTGGTAAGGCCACACATGGAATATAGCATGCAGTTTTCGTTGCCACGATGTAAAAAAAGATGTTGAGACTCTGGAAAGAGTGCAGAGAAGAGCAAAAAAAGATGATTAGGGGACTGGAGGCTAAAACATATAAAGATGTTGCAAGGTCGTCATTCATGCTAAAGTTTATCCAACTAAGTATTAACTGACATGGGTGATAATTTTTGTAGATCTCGTTTTTTCTATGGTGATAATTTTTGTAGATCTCGTTTTTTCTAGGTGTTTCCCTTTTCTTCTCTATACTGTAACTGCTACTCTAATGGCAAATCCTTCATAAAAGTTATTGCATTACATTCTTGATTCAATTCTCTTTCCATTGATATATAATTTTATGGTACTACTCCAAAAAAAGAAAAAAAGTGGTGTTATCAGCTAGTTTTAGAAAATACACTTTTCCCAAAAGGTTTTCCACAATTTTGGCCATTACTGTATACCATTTTCCCTGCCTGAGCAGGGGGTTGGACTAGAAGACCTCCAGGGTCCCTTTTCAACTCTGTTATTCACGCTCTCCAAGCGAGCGCTGCAGGAATCTTTAATTTTGGCGTTTAAGAGTGCAAAGACCTTTGTCCCTTGGACTTGGTGCCTTTCAGTTCCCCTTTATACGGAAATAGCTCAGCGCATCTGGCAACAATTGTCAAGTTCCCAAATGCACGTAAATCAAAGGCAGTATAGCTGGAGGCGGTTGAGAGAGAGAGAGAGAGAGAGAGAGAGGGAGTTTGCCGATTGAAATATTTCCCCATAAAAGCAGGCTTTCTGCACATTAAAATCCAGAAACTGGAGACGTTCCTGCTTCTCCATGTGGTATAGATTGGATTAGAAAACAGCCCCTTTTCATTCGGCCCTCCGCATCAATCAGCAGCCGGCTCTGCAAACCGAACCTCTAAATTTAAAGAATTGAACCTTGCGGATGTAAACGGAACGAACTGCCGGTAGTTCTCGATGTACGACCATCACTGAAGACGACATTTCCATGGCTAAGCAAGGCAGCTGGTACAAACCGCCGCTCAAGCCTTTATCCATCCCAGTCAAATATTTGACCAGTCTATAGGATAGGGTAGGGTAGGGTAGGGTAGGGTAGGGTAGGGTAGGGTAGAGTAGAGTAGAGTAGAGTAGAATAGAATAGAATAGAATAGAATAGAATAGAATAGAATAGAATAGAATAGAATAGAATAGAATAGAATAGAACAGAACAGAACAGAACAGAACAGAACAGAACAGAACAGAACAGAACAGAACAGCGGATAGGATAGGATAGGATAGGATAGGATAGGATAGGATAGGATAGGATAGGATAGGATAGAAATGAATAGCATAGCATAGCATATAGGATAGGATTGGACAGGACAGGACAGGACAGGACAGAAAAGAAAAGAAGAAAAGAAAAGAAAAGAAAAGAAAAGAAAAAAAGAAAAGAAAAGAAAAGAAAAGAAAAAAAGAAATGAATAGCATAGCATAGCATAGCGGATAGGATAGGATAGGATAGGATAGGATAGGATAGGATAGGATAGGATAGGATAGGATAGGATAGGATAGAAATGAATAGAATAGAATAGCATAGCATAGCATATAGAATAGAATAGAATAGAACAGAACAGAACAGAACAGAATAGAATAGAAAAGAAATGAATAGAATAGAATAGCATAGCATAGCATAGAGGATAGGATAGGATAGGATAGGATAGGATAGGATAGATAGGATAGGATAATAGGATAGGATAGGATAGGATAGGATAGGATAGAAATGAATAGAATAGCATAGCATAGCATAGCATAGCATAGCATATAGAATAGAATAGAATAGAATAGAATAGAATAGAATAGAATAGAATAGAATAGAATAGAATAGAATAGAATAGAATAGAATAGAATAGACGAGTCCATGTTCGTCATTTGCGAAGTCTTCTTTGTTTTGCCAATTCAGTCCTTTCAACTTTGTGGTGGTGGTGTTGTTCTCTTATTTCCTCGCAGGCACCCTTGTGTCATTCGTGGGCAGGTGATGACAGCAGATGGAACCCCTCTGGTCGGCGTCAACATCAGCTTTGTCAACAACCCGCTTTTCGGCTACACCATCAGCAGACAAGATGGCAGGTAGGTGGACCTCTCTTCCCTTGAGTGATAGGAAGTCGGGATTGGCTTCCGGATTTGGCTACAGCGTCATCAGATTTGTGGCCTCCTTGTCTGTTGGCACATACCCAAATACCCTTAACCAGGGGTAGGCTGCTGGGGGTTCCTGGGGGTTCGGGGGAACCTCTAGCTAAGATTCTGTGCAGTTTGGAGAACCCCAAAATCCCAATCCTTGTTGGCCCCGCCTACCCCACGCAGACCATTTTGGATGCAGGTAAGTGTAAGAGGCTCGGGGAGGGTAAAAAATGGGCCCACCGGAAGTTTGGGAAGGCCGGAAACGTGCCAGTTTCCAGCCTCCAGAGGGCCTCCGGAGCCTGGGGAGGCTGTTTTCGCCCTCCCGGAGGCTCGAAAAAAGCTTCCAGAGCCCAGTGAAGGCAAATACAACCCCCCCAACCGCCGTGGTTCAGGAGGCTGACTCGGACACACCTACCATGGCCACACCCACCCAGCAACCGAGCAGAGAACCCCTTGCTAAAATTTTTGAAGCCCACCCCTGCCCTTAGGGCAGACTCCAGATGAATAATATTAAGGAGTTGTGGTCGTAAGTCGAGGACTACCTGTAGAGATGTGTCCGCGAGGTTCTCAGAAGCCACGCTCAAACTCTCAAAGAAAGCTACCCTCGCTTCCATGTTGTGGATGGACAAAGCAAGGTCTTGCATGACGACCCATTAGAAGATGACCCATTAGTAAGATTCTCATAGTCTTAACATTAGGAAGATTAATGAGTCAGAAAATGGTTACTCAGAATACGTTTGAGGAAGTTCCACTTGTGACTTCCCACGTCATATGACTGCCCTGATTTAATCTAGACTAAGACGAGGGGCTATAACAATTGGTGTCTTCTTGCCAAGTGTCCGAGCTTATGCGTTTTGTGGCCTACCAGCGGCCAGCAGAGCTGGGAGCAGATTCAGACAGTGAGGTGGTTGGGGAGGAACGTGGGCCAGTCCTGGAGTCTGGGGAAGACTCTGATGAGGGCTCTGCGTCGGAGGCAGAGAGGGAGCCAGGGCCGGATGCCAGTTATCAGTTGCCTTCTGAGTCAGACATCAGTGAGGCAGATGAACAGCTTGAGCCTGTTCCCAGTGTGCGCATGTGCAGAGTTGCCAGACGAAGGGAACAGCCAAAGAACAAGGGTCGACTCAGGAGTAAGGCCACAGGTGGGCGATGAATTCCCCAGAGGGAATAAAAGAGGAGCGAAAGGGGAATGGAGTTTGCAGGAGACAATTAATTCACTTAATTGGTTTGTGACTCTCCGAGACTCCTTGCCAAGGTTTGAAGATGGTATGGGACCTGGGTATTTGTGGGACCGCCTTCTACCGCCGATAGCCTCCCACTGAGCAGTATGCTCCCACAGAGAGGGACTCCTCAGGGTGCCGTCAGCCAGGCAATGTCGGTTGGCGACCCCCAGGGGGAGGGCCTTCTCTGTGGCAGCTCCTGCCCTCTGGAACAATTTGCCCCCGGAGATACGAAGGATATCGGATCTCAGGGTTTTTCGCCGTGCCCTAAAAACTTTTCTTTTCCATCAAGCAGGGCTGGCGTGAAACCCCTCTCCCCTTTTTTCAGTCTTTTTTAGCTTTTTAAATTGTCAAATGGGTTTTAGTTTTCAATGTTTTAAATTTTTGGGCCACAGTTATTTAATTCTTTTAATAATTTTAAATTTTGTATTGATACATGTTTTAGTTCTGGCTGTGCACCGCCCTGAGTCCACTAGGAAAAGGGCGGGATATAAATTAATGAAAGAAAGAAAGAAAGAAAGAAAGAAAGAAAGAAAGAAAGAAAGAAAGAAAGAAAGAAAGAAAGAAAGAAAGAAAGAAAGAAAGAAAGAAAGAAAGAAAGAAAGATAGATATTGGTCTGGCAGCTCTCCAAGCCAGATAAGGTCTGTGACTGTAAATGCTCCCTTGAAAGACTTTGCTGGATGTGAATGAGAAGAATTCACCGTAACTTAATAAAAAGGGTTTTTTGTCAGGACAAGGAGTCTGCTTCATGCTCTTGGGAAGCCTAGGTCAGAACAATGTGTAAAAAGGCAGTCTCAGTGATAAGCACTAGGCGCATTGATTATGCGCCATCAAGTCATAGTCGACTCTTAACAATGGCATAGATAGAATTTTTCCAGAGGGCATGTAGCACATCTTTATGGAATGCCGGTTTGTTTTGTATTAATTAATCCCATTGGAAGCACAGATTCTTGAAGTTGCACATTTGTAAGGGTTGAGTAATAAATTGAGAGGAGCAATTAAAAATGAGTTGGTGGCTGAGCCAGCTCAAACGATTCTGGAAGGGGAGCAATTGGTCGTCCATCCAGTTGAGCTGCATCTGGGACCGTCCCATTGGTATCGATTTTACCTGGTCAGACTCTGTCACGTGAAGTGTTAATACCACTTTATAATGCCACACTTGGAATACGGCATCCAGTTTTGGTCCCCACGATGTAAAAAAAGATTGTTGAGACTCTAGAAAGAGTGCAGAGAAGAGCAACAAAGATGATGAGGGGACTGGAGGCTAAAACATATGAAGAACGGTTGCAGGAACTGGATATGTCTAGTTTGATGAAGAGAAGGAGACATGATAACAGTCTTCCAATATCTCAGGGGCTGCCACAAAGAAGAAGGAGTCAAACTATTCTCCAAAGCACCTGAGGGTAGGACAAGAAGCAACGGGTGGAAACTAATCAAGGAGAGAAGCAATCTAGAAATAAGGAGAAATTTCCTGACAGTGAGAACAATTAATCAATGGAACGACTTGCCTCCAGAAGTTGTGAATGCTCCAACATTGGAAGTTTTTAAAAAGAGGTTGGATAACCATTTGTCTGAAGTGGTGTAGGGTTTCCTGCCTGGGCAGAGGGTTGGACTAGAAGACCTCCAAGGTCCCTTCCAACTGTGTTATTCTATTCTATTCTGAATTCTATTTTGAGATTCTATTCTATTCTATTCTATTCTATTCTATTCTATTCTATTCTATTCTATTCTATTCTTTTCTATTCTATTCTATTCTATTCTATTCTATTCTATTCTATTCTATTCTATTTAAAAAGCCAGCACAGTCGCAGGGTGCATGAACAGAGGGATAGAATCAAGATCACATAAAGTGTTAATACCACTTTATAATGTCTTGGTAAGGTCACACTTGGAATCCTGCATCCAGTTTTGGTTACCATGATGCAAAAAAGATATTGGCACTCTAGAAAGAGTGCAGAGAAGAGCCACAAAGATGCTTAAGGGACTGGAGGCTGAAAACATATCATGAACGATTGAGAGAACTAGCAAAGAGAAGGATTGGGGTGACATGATAGCAGTGTTCCAATATTTAAAGGGTTGTCACAGAGAAAAGGGCTAGAGGGAAGTTCTCTGAAGATGGGCTCCGTGAGGTTCGAAAGTCCGAAAGCTCGGAAGACAAAACCTCTGGTGACCGACCCAGATTGTATCCTGCAAGAAAAGTCAACCTATTCTCCAAAACACATGAAGAAGAAGTCATCATATGTTCACCACACTATAAAAAAGATGTTGAGACTCTAGAAAGAGTGCAGAGAAGAGCAATAAAAATAATTAGAGGACTAGAGGTTAAAACATATGAAGAACGGTTGCAGGAATTGGCCTGGCTAGTCTAGTGAAGAGAAGGACCAGGGGAGACAGGATAGTTGTGTTCCAATATTTGAAGGGCTGCCACAGAGAGGAGGGGGTCAAGCTATTCTCCAAAGCACCTGAAGGCCAGACAAGGAATAATGGATGGAAACTGATCAAGGAGAGATTCAACTTGGAACTAAGGAGACATTTTCTGACAGTGAGAACAATCAACCCATGGAACAGAATTTTCCTTTAGAAGTCATGGGAGCTTCATTACTGGAGGCTTTTAAGAAGAGACTGGACTACCATCTGTCAGAAATGGTGTAGGGTCTCCTGCTTGGGCGGGGGGTTGGACTAGATGACCGACAAGGTCCCTTCCAACTCTGTTATTCTTTTATTAAGATATGGGAAATTATCAAAGAGAAACCCAGCTTGGAATGAAAGAGAAATTTTCTGACAGCAAAAACAATTAACCAATGGAACAACTTCTCTTCAGAAGTTGTAGGTGCTCCTATCACTGGAGGTTTTTAAGAAGAGTGGACAGACATTTGTCTAAAATGGTATAGAGCAGTGATGGCTAACCTTTTTGCCGTCGCGTGCCAAAAGCGGGGGAGCATGGGGGGGTTGCGCGCGCATGTGCCTACACCCATAATTCAATGGGCCCCGCTCCTGTGCATGTGTACGTGACACACACACACCCCGCGCTCCCCAACTTTTGGCACGAGATGGCATGGTGGGCCCAGTGGGCCCGTTTTTCACCCTCTGGAGGGCCTCCGGGGGCTGGGGAAGGCCGTTTTCGCCCTCCCCAGGCTCCTAGAAAGCATCTGGAGCCTGGGGAGAGCGAAAAACCCCCCTGGAGGCCCTCCGGAGGCTGGAAACAGCCTGTTTCCCAACTTCCGGTGGGCCCGGAAGGCCCGAAAATCAGCTGGCTGGCGCACGATTGCGTGCTGGAGCTGAGCTAGGGCAACGCTCACGTGCCCACCGATATGGCTCCGTGTGCCACCTGTGGCACGCGTGCCATAGGTTCGCCATCACGGGTATAGAGTTTTCTGCTTGAGCAGGGAGTTGGACTGGAAGATCTCCAAGGAAACCTTCCAACTCTATTATTCTCCAGATCTCAGAGAATGGGAGTTTCTTTTGGTTGTTACAGACTTGTTTTGCATCAACACTTTGGAAACATCTGCACAGCCACAGCAACAAAGACCAGTCCGAGTGTTTGTTGGGTGGGTTTGTTTAAACAACTAGGCCTTGAAGGATTCCGATCAAATTGCAGGAAAACATTCCTTCCTTTGTCAAGCCGATCGTTGTCCCAACAGAATAATCCATTTTGTCAGGCAGTAAAAAATGACCCTTTGCTTTGAACCAGTGAGTAGGCAACACTGTGCAAAAAAATTCTCCTCAGAGACTACAGGATAATGTCAAATTTCCAGAATTCAGCAGTAAATAAATTCAGCAATAAACCTTTAAGTTTTCCAACCTAACGTGTCTTAACTTGGCGGTTAAGCTTTGAATTGACTTCAGTTTCTCGGACTGGGTTAGATAAGATTATATAGAAATTTTATTGTTGATTAGATTGAAGAGGTATAAAACAGCTGACCGTTACTTTAATGGTGTACTTTCTTTTTATACCGACTCTACCTGAAATCCATTTCTTTTATATTTTTTTTCTTGCCTTTCGAACTTACGAGGAATTCATTGCCTGCGCTTCGTGTCTTGGAGTCAAGTGGTTGTTTTGATTGATTGATTGATTGATTGATTGATTAGCCCTTGGGCCATATTAAAGTCCAGCATTCCAGAAACAAATTATAAATAATAATTTATAAATAAACCAGAAACTAATCCAGAATCTAATTATAAATAATCGTATATAAATAAATAAACAAATTATTACTGAAATTAGATAAAAGCAATTTAAAATGGAATTGGAATAAAATACGATTTAAAATGAAATTGGAATAAAATACAATCTAAGATGAAAAATGGAACAAAATGCAATAATTTAAGATATGGATAAAATACGATAAAATTATATGATTTATATTATATTTTTTATATCCTGAGAAGCATATCTCAGCTTATCTCGGAATTCAGATGCAGAGATTTGTTTAGGAGGAGAGTTTTACAAATATTATAGTCCTCAAACTTACGACCACAATAGGGACAAGAATTTCTGTTGCTAAGCAAGGCGGGTTTAGTCATGTCCTATCTTACGACCTTTTTACACCTGTTCTTAAGTGAATCACGTGCTTGTGAAGCAAATCCGGTTTCCCCCATTGAAAGCCAGCTGGGTTAGTCACAAACGATCAAAATTCAGACACTGGCTCGTATTTACGACGGTGGCAGTGTCCCCAGGATCACATGATCCCCTTTTGCAACCTTCTGACAAGCCAAGTCAATGGGGAAGCCAGATTCATTCAACAACCGTGTGACTTAACTTAGCAGCTGCAGTGACTCGCTTAAACAGCTGTGGCAAGAAAGGTTTCAAAATGGAGCAAAACTCATGAAACAACTGTCTCGCTTAGCAATGGAAATTTTGGGCTCCATTGGGGTCGTAAGTCGAGGACTGCCTATCTGTTTTTTGCAATTCCCACTGCAGCTCTGCTCAGTTCTCCATCCTTGGCTTGCCACTTTGCCAAATGTCAACTAACTGTTTAAAATGTCTTCCTTGAGGCTTCAGTGCTTTTCAGTTTGCTGGCGTGCCAGAAACCCGGGTTATTAAAAAACCAGCCAGTGTTTTCCTACTTGAATTGCACTCTGTTGCTCACTTGCTTTGTTTTTATTTTCATGGACCGGAAATAAATTAGGCCCACCGTTAGGGAGGTCCTGTCTGATGGACTGTGAATGAGACGTGCCTCACAGAAGACCTGTTGTGACCTAGGCTTCCTGAGTCATTAAAACACACCAGTAGTCCCAAAAACCTCTTTTATTGCAACAGCTGTGAATTACGTTCATTCACAGCTGTGTCCCAATTAGTTTCAAAACAAGTCCTTCTGGAGAAGTTCTTCAGGATAATCACCAACCTTTAGTTTATCTCCCTTGACACGCTGCCAAAGACCTATTTGGCAAAGCCACACAGAATCCAGAATCAAACAGAGATGCCGACTGGGAACAGAATTAACAATGTTGCTTTCGTGCAAAGGGCCCACGTGCCTTTGCTCCTCTTTTAAGCCTTATGGGAGGGGCCAATCATCTCCAGGCCTTACTCCCGAGTTGTCCCTTTTGTTTTAACTATTCTTGCCTTCTGGCAGCCCTGAGCATGCGCGCACTAGGAACAGGCTCCTCCTGTTCCTCTGCCTCTCTGATATCCGATTCTGGAAGCTCCGGAGTCCGCGCACCACTCCCAGATGGCCCTGGCCCCATTTCTGCCTCCCTCGTCCGAGCCTTCCCCAGACCCCAGGACTGGCCCATGTTCCTCCCCAGCCTCCTCACTGTCCGACTCCGCTGCCAGCTCTGCAGGCTGCTGGCGGACCACAACACGACCTCCTTAGATGCGGCCTCTGAATTCCGGGGAATTCCCAGAATTCCCCAGCCAGCATGGATAGATTTGAGCCCCCAGAATCCCCCAGCCACCTTGAGTGGACTTCAATTCCCAGAATTCCCCAGCCAAAATGGTTGGGTCTCAGGTCCTAGAATTCCCTAACCAGCATGGGTGGACTCCAGATCCCAGAATTCCTCAGCCAGCATGGGTGGATTTCCAGCTTCCAGGGTGCTGGCTAGGGAATTCTGGGAATTGAAGTCTATGCATCTTAAAGTTTATCAAGGTTGAATCTATAGCCTTCCATCTCGGAACATGTTTTCTTTACAAAACATTACTCCTTTTTACTGCTTTGTAAAAGAAATCAGAAAATACTTTTCTTAATTTATGTGGGGGTGGTTTTTTGAATGGTGCATTTGTGCTTGAGTTCAAGTCCACCCTGTCAATTGGCCAAAATAGAATCACTTTATTTATTTATTTATTTATTATTAGGGACGCGGTGGCCCAGTGGCTAAGACGCTGAGCTTGTCGATCGAAAGGTTGGCAGTTCAGCGGTTCGAATCCCTAGTGCTGCGTAATGGGGTGAGCTCCCGTGACTTGTCCCAGCTTCTGCCAACCTAGCAGTTCGAAAGCACGTAAAAAATGCAAGTAGAAAAATAGGGACCACCTTTGGTGGGAAGGTAACAGCGTTCGGTGCACCTTCGGCATTTAGTCCTGCCGGCCACATGACCACGGAGACGTCTTCAGACAGTGCTGGCTCTTTGGCTTTAAAACGGAGATTAGCACCGCCCCCTAGAGTCAGGAACGACTAGCACATATGTGCAAAGGGAACCTTTACCTTTACTTATTTATTTATTTTTAAGGGGAAATGTCACCACAAAGTCACCCTCCTTCACCGACATCAACAGCTCTTCTTTCCTCTAAAAAAACAACAACAAAAAATCTTGACTTTTTGTCCACACAGTTTTGACCTGGTCACGAACGGCGGGATAGCCATCGTTCTGCGTTTCGAGCGGGCGCCCTTCATCACTCAGGATCACACCCTCTGGCTGCCATGGAACCACTTCTTCGTCATGGAGACCATCGTCATGCGACACGAAGAAAATGACATCCCCAGCTGTGACCTGAGCAACTTTGCCCGGCCCAACCCTGTGGTTTCCCCCACTCCGCTGACCGCCTTCGCCAGCTCCTGTTCCGAACGAGGCCCCATCGTGCCAGAAATCCAGGTAAGAAAACGGAACTGCAAAGATGCTTCCAGATGTGGGCCACCCTTGGCGAATTCAGGGACCAACATCTGTCGTGTCTCTCCTTTGCTCGAAATAACGTCCGCGCAATCCCAGAATTAAAATTCCACACTTTCAAAAGCATGTCGGTTCATGGCCGAATGCTGACAAGGACAAGAGAATGTGGTTTTTCAGCAAAAAAAAAAAAAGTGAGAATCAGGCAGGGGTGAAATCCAGCAGGTTCTGGAGAACCGGTAGCAGAAATTTTGAGTAGTTCAGAGAACCGGCAAATACCACCTCTGACTGGCCTCAGAGTGGGGTGGGAATGGAGATTTTGCAATAGCCTTCTCCCAGGAGTGGGGTGGGAATGGAGATTTTGCAGTATCCTTCCCCTGGAGTGAGGTGGGAATGGAGATTTTGCAGTATTCTTCCCCTGCCACGCCCACCAAGCCACACCATGCCAACCAGTCACGCCCACAGAACCAGTAGCAAAAAAAATTGGATTTCACCCCTGGTGTCAGGGTAATGAAGATTTAAAGCTGACCAGCCATTGTAAGACTTCTAAATCAAGTTAATGAACTGAGGATGAGTCAGCAAGGTTACTGCCATTTTAAGAAGCTGTCATCATCAGGGATAGCAGGGAGTGAGGATTGCAGGTAGGAGGAGGATAACATTTTTATTTATTTATTTATTTAATTAATTTATATACCGCCCTACTCCCGAAGGACTCAGGGCGGTGAACAGCCAAACAGTAAAAATACATAAATACAAAATTTAAAAAACAAGTAAAATCGAATTAAACAAGATTGGCCCAAACATATTAAAACCCCAATCATTTAAAAAACCAATTAAAATTTGTGTAATTAAAAAGAGAGAAAAGATTAGGCCAGGCCCGCCTGGTGGAATAAAAAGGTCTTAAGAGCGCGGCGGAAGGTACGCAGATCCGACAAAGGAGTGAAATTTGGATTTCACCACTGCTTTGAACCCTCTTTCAAACCAGCGATCCTCTCTATTTGATTTTTATTTTAATTTTTTGAAATCTCCAGGCTTTACAAGAAGAGATTAAGATTTCAGGGACTAAAATCAAGCTAAGCTACCTGAGCAGCCGTACTTCTGGCTACAAGTCGGTCCTGAAGATCAGCTTAACCCATCCCACCATCCCTTTTAACCTGATGAAAGTCCACCTCATGGTTGCGGTGGAAGGACGCCTCTTCAGAAAGTGGTTCGCGGCAGCTCCCGACCTCTCCTATTACTTCATCTGGGACAAGACGGATGTCTACAATCAAAAGGTCTATGGGTTATCGGAAGTCTTTGGTAAGATCTCATTTTTATAATCTGCCTTTGGCAGCTGCAGCTGCTAAAAAAGCCAACGCAGTTCCAGGCTGCATTAACAGAGGGATAGAATCAAGATCGCGTGAAGGGTTGGTACCAATTTATAAGGCCTTGGTAAGGCCAAATTTGGAATATTGCATCCAGTTTTGGTTGCCATGATGTTAAAAAGATGTTGGGGCTCTAGAAACAATGCAGAGAAGAGCAGTAAAGACGATTAGGGGACTGGAGGCTAAAATATGCGAAAAACAGTTGCAGGAATTGGGGAGGTCTAGTTTAATGAAAAAGACTAGGGGTGACCATGATAGCAGTCTTCCAATATTTGAGGGGCTGCCACAAAGAAGAGGGAGTCAAGCTATTCTCCAAAGCACCTGAAGGCAGGATGAGAAGCAACAGATGGAAACTAACCAAGGAGAGAAGCAACCTAGAACTAAAGAGAAATTTGTGTCAGTAAGAACAATTAATCAGCGGAACGACTTGCTTCCAGAAATTGTGGGTGCTCCATCACTGGAGGCTTTTAAGAAGAGATTGGACAACCGTTTCTCTGAAATGGTATAGAGTTTCCTGCCTGAGAAGGGAGTTGGACTAGAAGACCTCTAAGCTCCCGTCCGACTCTGTTATTCTTTCTGTCTCCTACCTGCCCCACAACTCAAGTTAACCAAGATAGATAGCTTTCTGCAAAGTCTGGCCAACCTCTGTCTGATGGCAAAACCACATGTGTGGAAGGGTTTCTGATCCTTCCCTTTGTCCTGTGGAACCTCTTGCCTAGGAAAGTTTCTGCTTCCCACCTGAGATTTTCATACAGTTACTATATTCAAGCCGCTTAATTCAGACAACCACAAGGTGGCAGCAAAGAGACACAAAAAAGGTTTTGACTCCCTGCTACCATCTAGTGGTTGTCTGAATTTTGGATGCCCAGATACGATAGTCCTGTACTTTCCTTGGGATGGGGGATATAAAAGTGTGTTGACCTAGCTGAATCTGATTTATTTTCTTTCGTTTATTATCCGTTTGTTTTCTTGGGATCGGAGTCGACCCTTTTCATAGCTAATCCGCATCGCGTTTCGATATTTCTGTTTAAAGACGCTGCTTGAAAGCTGTTCATATAGGCTGCTTCCTTTCATCCCTTTCATCGTTCTCTTTCTCGTTCTGTCTCTCGCACTCCCAGTCTCAGTGGGATACGAATATGAATCGTGCCCGGATTTGATCCTGTGGGAGAAACGGACGGCGGTGCTCCAAGGTTACGAAATAGACGCTTCAAAACTTGGAGGATGGACTCTGGACAAACATCATGCGCTTAACATCCAAAGTGGTACGTTTTTTGTTTTGATTGTTCATCTCTGTTATGAATATTTTTGGCTCATAACTGATGTTGTGGGTTATTGAGCAGAGTACCCTTTGAGTAAACACATGAAAAGTGACTGGGAGTGATTGTGAACAATCACAGTCAACATACAAACACACTGAGTTGTTGTAGTCTTTTACTTTTAGAAAAAGTAAAGCAAAGTCCAAAAACAATCCAAGTCATACACAGATAAGACGAGAGTTAAAAGATCAATCCAGGGATATTTCAAGTACAAAGTCTTCTTACCAGTTGTAGTCATACACAATAAAACAGTTCTTCTTGAGTTTCAAAACAGGAACAAGTTCAATATCAAAACATTCAATAAATAGTAGAAAGCAACATGTAGCTATGATCAAACAGTGATCGTGCAGAGAGATCAGGTAGAGAGTAACAGCAAATAAGCAGGTAAAATTGGTGTAGTATCCACACAAGCCATGATCCTGACTTCCCTTAAGTACATTGGCCTACAGAGCTTAGCCAATCAGGATACAGGATGATGCAATACAGTCTTAAAGCAATATAATACCTTTCTGATTGCAAACATACATAGTTGGTTTATATATTGCCTGACCAACTAGTTAGACTGTCAGGTTTCAAGGTTGTCTCAAATAAATTGCATTTTGAACAAAGTCTTTGAAGGAAAACTCCTATTTATTAAGCACGACATTCTAAAATCTGACTCCATCGAAGCCAACACTGACTTCCAGACCCAAAACCCTGCCTTTCCGTTCCCCACTCCCCTGCACTCATTGGCCATCTTTCAAGTCATTCTACCCCTAATCTACCGCTCCAGCTCAAAGGAATTTCCCCCCTCCCATCCCATCTCCTAGGGGATATTATCTCCAGGGAAAATAAGTAGGTAAAATGTCAAACGTCCCTTTCCAGGCGCCTCCACTTCTCCTTATGTCAGCACTAGAGTAAATGCAGCTTGAAATGCTGACATCGACAAATAACCATTTCCTAACAGTCTCTTTATACATGCTTCATATCTCTTAACCACCCATCTCCTTTGGATGGCTTTTAGGATCAAAGCTGAATTACTTTTGTTCAAATTAGTTTATGTTACTATGTACAAAGAAAATACAAAAGCAAATAGCAGGAAAAATAGGGATTACATGACTGTGGCAGCAGTGGGTTTCACATATTCTTACCACTGGGTCGCCACATGCGTGCACGCTCGCTTCGAGTACGTCTTCCGTACATGCACTTTGTGTCAGCGTTGCAGAAAACCCCAATTCCGACTAAAGACTCTGAAGCAAGCATTTCTCAAAGTCCTATTTACTAGAATAGGTAAACTGGCACATCTGGGAAAACCCGAATCTGAGAGATCCGGGTTTCCCCTCAGTAAATCAAAACCCCCAAAACCATCCCCTCACTCCTTAGTTGATCTCATGCTCCAATCACCGTCCGTCCCATCTTGAGACTTCACTCCAACCACTCCTTCTCCAGATACCGGATCGCCCTGATCTTGACCAACAGGAAGAATGCTATTATGTCTACAGACAATCCCTCTACTAAATCCCCCTTCCTACTTTCCCCACACATGAGAAGAAGATGGCAACATGGAAGCTTCCGGCCTAATATGGCTTCCAAAGCTGACACTTTGCTTGCACACGCGCCTTCCGCACATTCGCCCAGCTTTGAAAACGTGGCTAAATAGAACGGCATTACGCCTGGGAGGGCGGGCGGGCCCAACCCCTCTGCAGTGGCCGCTAGCGGTTCGCCCGAACCGATACGAATGCCACCTCTGGACTGTAAGGATGCTGTTCTGGACATTAAGTCTGAAAAATGTTCATCAGTCACTTTTTTCAGTGCCGAAAAAAGGCTTCGAAAGGTCACTAAACTAACTGCTATAAAGCTGTGGACTTCCTCCACACGCCGATTGCCAAGAGCAATCGAATTCTTTGATTGTAACATCCAGGGCCATCGGAGCTGTCTCTGGGTTGCAAAGTTCCGCCTATCACCTTTGTGTTTGCCCTCCAGGTATCCTGCACAAAGGAAATGGGGAAAACCAGTTCATCTCCCAGCAACCCCCGGTTATAGGGAGCATTATGGGGAATGGACGCCGAAGGAGCATCTCCTGCCCGAGTTGCAACGGCCTGGCTGATGGCAACAAGCTTCTGGCGCCCGTTGCTTTGACCTGCGGCTCGGACGGCAGCCTGTATGTTGGAGACTTCAACTACATCCGAAGGATCTTCCCTTCGGGGAATGTCACCAATATCTTGGAGTTAAGGTATGACCAACATCTTGTGACCTTAAGTTGCTTTGGTGTCCTTCAAGGTCTCAGATGATGGAAGCAGGAACAAAATGTTTTGGGTCGAAATGAAATGAAACATTTTGATGAAAGGAAGGACATGGGGCAATGAGCATATATCTGCTGAACAAAACTCCTCAGTGGGGACAGGAAGGGCATCCTGCCAGGAAACAATCAGCTCCATTAAAGTTGCCCAGACTCCACCCCGCAAGGGATTATGGGGCCTTAAAAGAAGATGAATTGGGTATGTCTAGTGTAATGAAAAAAAGGACCAGGGATGACATGATAGAAGTCTTCTTATATTTGAGGGGCTGCCCCAGAGAAGACGGGGGTCAAGCTATTCTCCAAAGCACCTGTGGGCAGAACAAGAAGCAACGGGTGGAAACTAATCAAGGAGAGAAGCAACTTAGAACTAAGGAGGAATTTCCTGACAGTGAGAACAATTAATCAGTGGAACAACTTGCCTCCAGAAGTTGTAAATGCTCCAACACTGGAGGTTTTCAAGAAAAGATTGGACAGCCATTTGTCTGAAATGGTACAGGGTTTCCTGCCTGAGGAGAGGGTTGGACTAGAAGACCTTCAAGGTCCCTTCCAACTCTGTTGTTCTGCCATTCAGTTCTGTTATTCTCCAAAGCACCTGAGGGCAGGACAAGAAGGACAAGGGGTGACATGATAGCACTCTAAGGAGAAATTTCCTGAAAGTTAGAACAATTAACCAGTGGAACGACTTGCCACCAGAAGTTGTGGGTGCTCTATCACTGGAGGTTTTCAAGGACAACCATTTTGTCTGGGATGGTATAGGGCCGTGATGGCGAACCTATGGCACACATGCCACAAGTGGCACACGAGCGTTGCCCTAGCTCAGCCACCTAATTTTTGGGCCTTCCGGACCAACCGGAAGTTGGCAAATGGGCTGTTTCCAGCCTCCGGGGAAGGCCGTTTCCACCCTCCCCAGGCTCCTAGGAAGGCTCTGGAGCCTGGAAAGAGCGAAAAATGGGCCTACTGGGCCCACGGTGTGCCAAAAGTGGAGGGAGTGGTGGGGGGTCATGCATGCATACGCAGGAGGGTGGGACGCATTGAATTATGGGTGTGGGCACGCGTGCACTCGACCCCCCGCTTTTGGCACGCGACAGCAAAAAGGTTAGCCATTACTGGTATAGGGTCTCCTGCTTGAGCAAGGAGTTAGACTAGAAGTGGGGTCCCCAACCCCCAGATTGCGGCCCACGACTGGGCCATGAGCCATTCAGAACAGGGGTGCAGAAAGGGTAGGCTGGGAAACTGACTCATATTTATGACGGTTTGCAGTGTCCCGGGGTCGTGTGACCCCCTTTGGCGACCCCTCTGACAACGAAGTCAGTGGGAAAATTTAACAACCGTGCAACTAATTGAACAACGGCCCATGATTCACTTAACCACTGTGGTGAGAGAGGTCGTAAAACGGGCCAAACCTCCTTTAACAACGGTCTCACTGAGCAACAGAGCAAAATGGTGGTCGTAAGTCAAGGACTATCCATATTTTGGCTCATTTTCTGCTCGGTTGAAGAAACCTAGCCAACTGGTCTGATTGGCTTGGGCTGGGCGCCATCCAGGGGAAAATGTGAATTGGAGAGCTTAAAATGGTTTTTCCTCCAGGCCCTTTCTCCACATGTCTTCCCTGAGAGAGGAAAACCTTACTTCAGCCAAGATGGAGAAACGACGCCCGGAATTCAGAAACGAAAGAGCAGTTTGAAAAGGGGGGGTGGGGGGTGTTTCACAAAGATGGCAACAAGGCGAGCTTTGTGATGCTTGTTCGGGGCTACCGAGCTCAGCCTAAACATTGGTTTGGCCGTCTCTCTTTTCTTCCCTCTCTTTTTTCTCCTGAGGCAACTTTTGTGCAATAAAGCTTTAAAAAACAACAATTTTGGCCCTCTAAGGTCCGGCAGTTAAGTGGCCTCTCCATGTCTTTAAAAAAAAAATACAATAAACATTCAGGATAGCCTCCCTCTCTCCCTCCCTTCCTCTCCCCCCTCTCTCTCCTGCCCTCTTTCTCTCCCTCCCTCTCTCCCTCTCTCCATGCCTCCTTCCCTCTCTCTCTCCCCATCTCCCTCTCCCTCTCTCCCCCTCTCTCTCCCTCTCCCTCCCTCTCGCCTTCCCTCCCTCTCTCTCCCTCTCTTTCCCTCTCTCCCCCTCTCTCCTTCCCTTCCTCTCTCCCTCCCTCTCTCCCCCCTCCCTCTCTCTCTCCTTCTTTCTCTCTCTCCCTGCCTCTCTCTCTCTCCCTCTCTCTCTCCCTGCCTCTCTCTCTTTCCCTCTCTCTCTCCCTGCCTCCCTCCCTCTCTCTCCCTCTCTCTCCCACCTCCTCCCTCCTTCTCTCCCTCTCTCTCTCCCTCTCTCTCTCTCCCTTTCTCTCTTGGGCTTTAATGTGAATTTAGCACCCAGAAAGTGTCTCACATGAGTTAGGAGAAAGCATTGTAAATATAGGTGGTTTTCGACTTATAACCAATCATTTAGTGACTGTTTGAGGTAACAGCAGTACTTTAAAAAAAGTGATTTGTGAGCATTTTCACACTTATGACCATTGCAGCATTCATATGGTCACTTGATCAAAATCCAGACACTTGGCAACTGGCTCATATTTATGACGGTTGCAGTATCTTGGGGTCACGCCTTTTGCGACCATCTGACAAGCAATTTCAACAGGGAAGCCAGATTCACCATTTTACTAAGTTAACTGTGGCAAGAAAGGTTGCAAAATGAGGCCAAAGCTCACTTAGCAATGGAAATGTCGGGCTCAATTGTCGTCATAAATTGAGGACTAAATGCATAGAAGATACTATGATAATCCTCGATTTATGACCACAACGGAGTCCAAAATTTCCGTTGCTAAGCAAGGCAGTTGTTAAGCAAGTTTTGCCCGATTTGACGACATTCCTTGCCACAGTTGTTAAGTGAACTACTGCGACTGTTAAGTTAGTCACATGGTCGTTAAATGAATCGGGGCTTGTCAGACGGTCGCCAAAGGGGATCATGTGACCCTGGGACACTGAAATCGTCATAAGTATGAGTCACTTTGCCAAATGTCTGAATTTTGATTACACGACCAGGGGGATGTGCTGCAGTGGTCGTAAGCGTGAAAAACGGTCACAAGTCACTTTTTTCACTGCCGTTGTAACTTTGAACGGTCACTAAATGAACCGTTGTTAAGTCAAGGACCACTTGTTGCTTGCCTTGAGTTGCGGCATGGAGAAAGCCGTGCTCTCTAAGAGAAGACACAATAACACAACAATGGATTTATATAACAACAATCCAACTACGTTATATTTTCAACCAGCCAGCATCGGACAAATGATATATTTTTCCCCCTAAAATAAGACATCCCCTGATAATAAGCCCAATCGGGCTTTTGAGCACATGCACTAAAATAAGTTCCCCCCTGAAAATAAGCCCTCCCAGAAAATTAGGCCAAGCGCTTATTTCTGGGTTCAAAAAAATATAAGACAGAGTCTTATTTTCGGGGAAACACGGTAGAATAGAATAGAATGGAATGGAATGGAATGAAATGGTAGGGAAGGGAAGGGAAGGGAAGGGAAGGGAAGGGAATAATTAGAATAGGATAGGATAGGATAGGATAGGATAGGATAGGATAGGATAGGATAGGATAGGATAGGATAGGATAGGATAGGATAGGATAGGATAGAATAGAATAGAAACATAATTAATAGAAATAGAAAGAATAGAATAGAATAGAATAGAATAATAATTAGAATAGCATAAAATAATAATTAATAGAAATAGAACTATTAGAATAGACTAGACTAGACTAGACTAGAATAGAATAGAATAGAATAGAATAGTATAAAGAATAGAATAAGGAATAGAATAGAATAGAATAATAATTAGAATAGAATAAAATAATAATTAATAGAAATAGAACTAATAGAATAGAATAGAATAGAATAGAATAGAATAGAATAGAATAAGGAATAGAATAGAATAGAATAGAATAGAATAGAATAGAATAGAATAGAATAGAATAGAATAGAACAGAATAATAATTAGAATAGAATAAAATAATAATTAATAGAAATAGAACTATTAGAATAGAATAGAATAGAATAGAATAGAATAGAATAGAATAGAATAGAATAGAATAGAATAGAATAGAATAGAATAGAATAGAATTTTTTGTTGACCAAGTGTGATTGGACACACAAGGAATTTGTCTTTGGTGCATACGCTCTCGGTGTACATAAAAAGAAAAGATACGTTCATCAAGAATCATAAGGTACAACACTTAATGATAGTCATGGGGAACAAATATATTTTTGATATATTTTTTCCCCTCGTGGAAGGTATCAGCGGACGCGACAGGTTTTCTCCAACAAGTTTCTTGCTCTTCGAAAAGGATCAATTTGTTAACTCTTTTATTTATTTCTGCCTTGTAGAGTTTGTGTGTTTGTTACTGTCAACTTTCCAGCCTAAGCCGCCGGGCTCGGAGTTCAACTTCTAACCTTTTTTCTCTCTCTTTCTCTCTCTCTCTCTCCTCCTTCCTTCTTCTCTTCTACCTTCCGCGTTCCTGCTCTTCTGTCAGAAATAAAGATTTCAGGCATAGGTAAGACACTCGCTGGTCAGTTGTGGGTTTCCTTTTCGCTGTCACGTTGCATGCTCTTCTCTGTTTTTCCCCCCCTTTTCTTGTCGTCGTACTTTATAAGGGTGATTTAAGGTTGCCGGGCTGCCAATTGGTAAAGGAATACAGGTCAAATGCATTTTATTTTTTTTTAGATCCTACCTTGATAATGTAACATATCGAGCAGCAAACGGGTGAAATGCAAAGGAAATAAAAACAGGAAGTCCCGAGTTCCAAATCTGCAAGGGGCGTCACAAACTAAGCCCTTCCCCTTTTTTGTGAAAGGGGCGGGGCTTAGCTCACGATGCCACGCCTCCCCTCTCCCGAGTTTTGATCTCTTGCGCTACCAACTCTGCACCAGGGTGTTTTTAATTCAGGAGTCTTTTTGCGATATCAATATTTATTCGTTTGTTGCAAGACGTCAAGATGTTTTTATGAAGAATTGAATTTGTTGCTGGAATTGGGTATGTCTAGTGAGTGGTGTGGCAGCCCAGAGGTGGAGGTCACGCCTCACAATCAGGAGGCTGTGAGTTCGATCCTAGGTAGAGGCAGATATTTCTCTCTCTGGGCACAACGAGAATGTATCTGCTGAACAAAACTCCGCATTGGTGACAGGAAGGGCATCCGGCCAGTAAAACACTCAGCTCCATTCAGTTGCCCCGACTCCACACCGCAAGGGATTATGCAGTCGTTAAAAGAAGATGAATCGGGTATGTCTAGTTTAATGAAAAGAAGGAGTAGGGGAGACATGATAGCAGCCTTCCAATATTTGAGGGGCTCACACAAAGAAGATGGGGGTCAAGCTATTCTCCAAAGCACTTAAAGGCAGGACAGGAAGCAACGGATGGAAACCTATCAAGGAGAGGAGCAACCTAGAAGCAAGGCAAAATTAGTTTAATTTAGAACAATTAATCAGTGGAGCAACTTGACTTCAGAAGTTGTGGGTGCTTCAACACTATAACAATCTAAGAATTTGATTGGACAGCCATTTGTCTGAAAGGGTATAGGGCCGTGATGGCGAACCTATGGCAGACATGCCACAGCTGGCGCATAGAGCCCTCTCAGCGGGAACACGAGCCATCGCCCAGCTCAGCTCCACTGCGCATGAGCGAGAGCACCTCCTCCGGCCAGCTGATTTTTGGGATGCGCAGGGGGCAGGGCACATGCGGGAGACACACACGCATGCATGGAGGGTCACATGCGCAGGGGGCAGGTGTGGGAGCATGGGGGGGGTGAGACGTCTGAGAGAAAACCACCAAACTCAGAGAGCACCAAGGACCCCACAATCGTTCTCCTCCTCCACTCCATAAACCCCACTCCCTCCTAGCACTGATGATGTTCCCTAGTTGGGTAATGAAACGTCTGCAAGAAAACAAAACAGCTCACAGAGCACCAAAGACCCCTCAGATCACACTTCCTTTTAACCAGGTTTAGTTTTCGCTCTGGCTCATGCAGAAATCAGGTCTTCCAATCCTTCCGTCCTTCGGTTCTCCCACCTGTCGCATCTTTGCTTAGTACGTTGGCTTTGGGGACTTCTCAGTGCCACGATTCACCGTTAAGTTCTTGCTTTCGGGTTATGCAAGAGATTAAACGGGGTCCTTCCGCCCTCGATTTTGCAGTCACAGCCCAGCTCATAAATATTACCTGACCGCCGATCCCACCTCTGGATCCATCTACCTCTCTGACACCAGCAGCCGTCGCATCTTCAAGATCAAGTCGACGACGGTGATCAAAGACATTGTGAAGAACTCGGAAGTGGTAGCTGGGACAGGAGACCAGTGCCTTCCGTTCGATGAGACCCACTGCGGAGACGGAGGGAAAGCAACCGAGGCCACCCTAACAAGCCCCAGGGGTAAGACGGACTATTTTAAGAGGAGGAGGGGTGGAATACAGGCAATCCACAATTTACAGCTATTCGTTTAGTGACCATTTGACATTACAACAGTTCTTAAGGACATCTCTCCATGAGCATCAGTGAGGGTGTGCCAGGGGGTGAAATCCAGCAGGTTCTGACAGGTTCTGGAAAACTGGTAGCGGAAATTTTGAGCAGTTCGGAGAACCGGCAAATACCACCTCTGGCTGGCCGCCGAGTGGGGTGGGAATGGAGATTTTGCAGTATCCTTCCCCCAGGAGTGAGGTGGGAATGGAGGTTTTGCAGTATTCTTCCCCCAGGAGTGGGGTGGGAATGGAGATTTTGCAGTATCCTTCCCCCAGGAATGGGGAGGGAATGGAGATTTTGCAGTATTCTTCCCCCAGGAGTGGGGTGGGAATGGAGATTTTGCAGTATCCTTCCCCCAGGAATGGGGAGGGAATGGAGATTTTGCAATATCCTTCCCCTGGAATGGGGTGGGAATGGAGATTTTGCAGTATCCTTCCCCCAGGAGTGGAGAGGGAATGGAGATTTTGCAGTATCCTTCCCCCAGGAGTAGGGAAGAAGTGGAGATTTTGCAATATCCTTCCCCTGGAGTGGGGTGGGAATGGAGATTTTGCAGTATCCTTCCCCTGCCATGCCCACCAAGCCACGCCCACAGAACCAGTAGTAAAAAAAAAAATTGGATTTCAGTAGGGTATGCCATATGTGCCATGATGCCAGCATGCAAACCTCACGACTTACAAATATTCTCCTTTTTAGTTTAGTTTAGTTTACTTTATTGTCGTTGCACATGTTACAGCGAAATTAAATGCCGTCTTCAGTGTACATTATAACTGTAAAAATAAAAGCACAAGCATACATCCTTTACATTCTATATAATTGAAATTGAAAACCGAATGTTGCACTATACCGTAGAATTCAATATGGTTATTGCCCTGGGATAGAAACTGTTTTTTTAGCCTATTTGTCCTTGTTTTTATGATCCTGTACCGTCTGCCAGATGGTAATAGTTCAAAAAAAAAAAAGGGGTGCCCAGGATGAGATGGATCTTTTAAGAATGTTTTGAACTTTTTTAAGGCAGCGGGAACTATAAAGCTCTTCCAAGGAGGGGAGAGGGCAGCCAATGATCCTCTGGGCAATGACGTTAACCCTCTGGAGTGCTGTCCTATCTGCCACTGTGCAATTGGCAAACTATACACAGGTGCAATAAGTTAAAATACTCTCTATGGTGCAGTGGTAGAAGGCCACTAGCAGTTTCTCATTCAGTTGTTGTTTCCTGAGAAGTCTCAGGTAGTATAATCTCTGCTGGGCCCTTTTGACCAGTGCTGCAATGTGAATGCCCCAGGTCAGGTCCTCTGTTTTAGAATGAGACAGCTAAACGACAATGCCAATTTACTGCAGTAGCTCCCTGATTATAAACAACTTACCGTCATCTTTGAATCGAACCTGGCAGAAGCCATTTTTCTATTCCTCAGTTGCCGCACGGAGTGGGGAACGGCAAGGAGGATGAAATGCTGGACAAAACACAGAACTTTCTCTTGAGAACCAAGGTCATCTCTGCAGGTGGTGGATAGAGACAGGGAGGAGAGCCCACCAATTAACCCGATTGGCCTATTTTAATTATATTGAAACCAGGAGAAACATTTAGAGTTGGTTTGCCATTTGATCGTGCCAAAACGATGTACCCAATAAAGAAGTTCTTAAAGGAAGAGCTTGGCCTAAGAGTTCTGATTGGCTTGGGTTCATTAGTCCGGATCATGGACTAATGACACCCACTTTATTGAAGTTGGTAGCTCCTTAATTGGGTATTATTTAACAAACAAACAGTAAACAGCAGGCTAATCAAGGAATCACAACACTGACAGGACAACCCAGTATATATAACCAGAGAGTGAACCCCACTCCCTGCTACACTGATAATGTTACCTAGTTGGGTCATGAAACGTCTGCAGAAACACAGCCAAGCTCAGAGAGCACCAAGACCCAACAGAAACATTTTAATATGCAAGCATTGCTTGACTTAAGTTGTTAACTTGAGTTTGTTTCCTTGTCACAGGCATCACAGTGGACAAGTTTGGGTTTATTTATTTTGTGGATGGTACGATGATCCGACGTGTGGACCAAAATGGAATCATCTCAACGGTCCTCGGTTCTAATGACCTGACGTCCACCAGACCTCTGAGCTGTGATTCAGTCATGGATATCTCCCAGGTAGGTTACAGGTGTCTCATGTTATCATTTTTTTCCCCCTGTATCCTCTTTTTTCCCTTCTGTGTTTCTTCTCATGGTGGAAATTGTTGTGGCCCGCCAGCGGCCAGCAGATTTGGACAGTGAGGAGGTTGGGGAGCAACATGGGCCAGTTCTGCAGTCTGGGGAAGCCTCTGATGAGGGCTCTGCATCGGAGGCAGAGAGGGGGCCAAGGCCATCTGATAGTTCTGTGCTGCCTCCGTAGTCTCTGGAGTCTGAAATCAGCGAGGCAGAAGAACAGCGTGAGCCTGTTCCCAGTGTGCGCATGTGCAGAGCTGCCAGAAGACAGGAACAATGAAGAAAACAGGGTCGACTTGGGAGTAAGGCTTGGAGATGATTGGCCACTCCCATAAGACATAAAAGAGAAGCAAACGGGACGTGAGCTTTTGCAGGAAGCAATTAGTTCATCTGGTCGGTAAAAGCTTTGGGAAAGTTCTGTTTGATTCTGTGCTAAGTTGGGCCTCGCCCTGCATGTGGCAATTAGTTCTCTGGCAGCATTCCAAGGGAGATAAGGTGGGTGTTTGTAAACACTCCCTTGGAAGACTGTTTGAGAAGCCTTTCGGACTGGGAATGACAATAATTCACAGCCGTATGAATAAAAGAGGTTTGCCACGACTAAGATTGTGCTGTATACTTTCTAAGGAAGCCTAGGTCAGAACAGAAATGTCTCTTTTCAGTGAATTATATTTTCCACTGCTTGGTACATGTCTGTGGAGATTCTCAGTCATCCAGGTCATGGTTGTCCCCAAGGTGCTTTTTTTAAAAAGACAACTGGACTTTCTTTGTCTTTTCCTTGAAGACATTTCCCTTCTCGTCCAAGAAGCTTCAGTCAGAACTGAGGAAGCTTCTTGGATGAGAAGCGAAACGTCTTCAAGGAAAAACAAAGTCCACTTGCCTTTTTAAAAAGCACCTAGGAGACATACTGCCTAGTACTTCACCCTATCAACTGAATTATCACCTTTCTCTGCATAAATCTTTCGATGATTTTTCCTCTGATTCCTGGCATTATTTGACCTGTTCTTTCAAGATTGGGATACAGTGACTAGCTATCTTTTCTTGTTCTCCTGGTCACATCTAAACCAACATTATCTTTTGGAATACAGAATACCTGGCTTTGACAGAGTAGCTTTCTTTACACCAGGTCCTAAACAGGGGTGGGTTCTAAATTTTTTTACTACCAGTTCTGTGGGCGTGGCTTATTTTGTGGGTGTGGCTTGGAGGTCATGTGACTAGGTGGGCGTGGCTAGCTGGTCAGAGTCATTTCTGGAAGGTCCTCGCACTTACGACCAATCATCGCACTTACAACCCGACTCATTTGTTTGCTTTTAACACTGATCAGCTGTAGGACGGCCCTTTGAAGACCCCCGGCAAGAGTTTAAACAGTTTTTTTCCCTCTAGTCATCAGCTGGGACTCAGGAGGCAGCAATAGATTGGGGGTGGGACCAAATAAAAGATAAGAATAACGTGGGTGGGGGAGGGAGGGCGGGGGGAGAACCGGTTCGGTGACATCATATCGTCACCACTACCGGCTTGGCCGAACCGGACCGAACCGGGAGGAACCCACCACTGGTCCTCAACTCTCAGCCATTCATTTACCAACTGTTCAAAGGAACAACAGCACGGAAAGAAGTGACTTACGACCAGTCCTCGCAGTTTTGACGAGCAAAGTCAATGGGAAAGTCAGATTCACTAACAGTATTGAAAAGGACCTTGGGAAAAGGAAGATACAGAATACTATGTAATATGGAGCAAATGGTACAACTGGCTGGAGATTAGAAATAGTGAACAATAATGAAAGGGGAGAAATCATAAATGTAAAAGATTTATAGGACAATGTATAAAATGTACAAAATTAATATCATGATTGTTAGGAATTATAATGTAAATAAGAGAAAAAGGGACCAGAAGGAAAAGTACGGTATAAGGGGAAATGGGGGGAAGATGTAAGTACTAGAAGATGACGGTTACGAAACAGTTGTAAAAAAGGAATTTATATTATGTGTTTTGTGTTATGTGTTTGTTATATTGTGTTGTTTTATAAATAAAAAAAAAAAGTTTTTTTAAAAAGAAAGGGACCTTGGAGATCTTCTAGTCAAACCCCCTTCTCAAGCAGGAAACCCTACCATTCCAGACCAATGGCTGTCCAGTCTCTTCAGTCTCGGCCATCAATAGGCACATTGAGATAAACAACAAGTACATACCTTTCAAAAGAGACAATCAAAAATCCCCAAAGAAAATTTATTTATTTATTTATTTATTGGTTCGATTTACATGCCGCCCTTCTCCGGAGACTCAGGGCGGCTTACAATGCATTAAGCAGCCTTCATACTTTTGTATATACCTGCTTAGTAGGGCTTTCCCCCCCCCCCCCCCAGTGGTGTTCTTTTTTTATACAAAGTCAGCTTATTGCCCCCACAATCCGGGTCCTCATTTTACCTACCTCGGAAGGATGGAAGGCTGAGTCATCCTTGAGCCTGGTGAGATTCGAACTCGCAGTAATTGCAGGCAGCTGGCAACTAAGTGCTACTTAACAGCACTTTAGTCCGCTGCGCCACCAAAGCTCAAAATAAACAGATTGTTATCCAAGGTCCTTCCAGAGTTTGAAGGGACCTTGGAGATCTTCTAGTCCAACCCCCTGCTCGGGGAGGAAACCCTGTACCATTCCAGTGTTGGAGCACCCATAACTTCTGGAGGCAAGTTGTTCCACTGATTAATGGTTCAAACAGTCAGGAAATTTCTCCTTAGTTCTAGGTTCTCTCGTTGGTTAGTCTCCATCCATTGTTTCTTGCTTTCTCTTTTGGGGCTTTGGAAAATATTTTGACCGACTCATCTTTGTAGGAGCCCCTCAGGAGTCATCCTATTCTCCAAAACACCTGAGGGCAGGACAAGAAGCAATGGGTGGAAACTAATCAAGGAGAGAAGCAACGTAGAACTAAGGAGGAATTTCCTGACAGTGAGAACAATTAATCAGTGGAACGACTTGCCTCCAGAAGTTGTAAATGCTGCATCACTGGATGTTTTTAAGAAGAGATTGGACAACTATTTATCTGAAATGGTATAGGGTTTCCTGCCTGAGCAGGGGGTTGGACTAGAAGACCTCCAAGGTCCCTTCCAGCTCTGTTATTCTTGTTAAATATGATTTACAATCTATAACTGATCACTTTGTTGTTTTTGCATGTACACTGAGAGGTTATGCACCGGAGACAAATTCCTTGTGTGTCCAATCACACTTGGCCGATAAAGAATTCTATTCTATTCTGAAATACAAATTCAAATGTGGATATATTATAAGTATACATTGCCCCACGTTCCAGTTCAATTTTTTTTCCCCCTGGTTTTATTTACTGGTACACTTCGTGGGCTCACAATGAATGCAATTTTGCTTTTGTGTCGAAGACACCGTGGGTTTGGGGGTACGAGTTCAATTTAATATCCCTCAAATGGTTGCCCGAATTATCAACAGCAGGAAAATGGCGGATTCTGAATTGCATTTGATTGCAAATGGATTGCGAGAGAGTGTTGTCACACTGAGCTTTTTAAACTCCCACTGTTGAAGACAGCTTTTTAAAATATACATGTATATATATATATATATATATATTTTAAAACTGAATTTCCAGGCTAAGGCAGACATATATCTGAGATTGCCTAAAGTTTAGGAATTGAAGACAGGTATTATATGCAATTGGGATTCCATTCTGAAGCCGTAACTTCTAAATACAAATATGCCTGACCTTATTATTGAAATAGTTTGAGGAAATATTCTTTGTTCTGCTGGAAACGGTGATTGGCTGGTTCTTTTGAATGCTGCTCCTTAGGCACAATAGAACCCAATGGGGAGCCTTCCTATTTTTTTAACCACCCATATAATTCTCTCTTGTCCACCTGGCCCTTATTCTTCTCCCTTTCTTTCTTCCTCTAATTTGAAAAGATTGCTCGGCTACCCCACTGCCTGCCATTTACGAGCTCGATAAAAATGACAGAGCTACAAAGGTCACTTGCTTTGCACACTCTGAAGCAAACAGTTGTTAATTCCGAATCCGCAAACTCGTATCTGCCTAGAGAAGGCTGACGCAGGCTCGGATGCTGGATTTTGTTAATGTCTGTTTTGGGGGTCACTCTGGGTTTTTCTAACCCAATACAGTAGGCCGCAAAATCAGGAGGCTGTGATTTCAATCCTAGGTAGTGGCGGATATTTCTGTCTCTGGGCGCAAAGAGAAAATATTTGCTGTGAGCTCCTGTTAGGCGTCAGGAAGGGGATCCGCCAGTAAATGCTCAGCTCCATTCAGTCACGCCCGACTCCATCCCGATGGAAGAGATTACAGGGTCGTTAAGAGTGGGGGGGGAAAGGCTTAAAGAATACAGCCAAGTTACATTTTGTTTTTATTATTTTATTTTAGTTTCTTAAACATTATAATATTAAATGAGAGCCACTTTGGTGGAGGACTGAAAGCAGCGGATAGAAAGTGGAAGATCATGAGTTCAAGTCCCGTCTTAGACATGAAAGCCGGCTAGGAGATTTTAGACCGATCACCAGGAGACATTGAGTTCTAGTCCCACCTTAAGCAGGATTAGCCAACTGGGTGACTCTGAACCAATCACTAGGAGACAATGAGTTCTAGTCCCACCTTTATAGTCAGCTGGGTGATTCTGAGCCAATCACCAGGAGGTGGTGAGTTCTAGTCCTGCCTTAGGCGTGATAGCCATCTGGGTAACTTTGGGCACCTCAGCAGGAGACGGTGAATTCTAGTTTCATCTTAGCCATGAAAACCAGCTGGGTGATTTTGGGCTAATCACCAAGAGACGGCGAGTTCTAGTCCGACCTTTAGACATGATAGACTCTGGGCTACTCAGCAGAAATTGTGAATTCTAGTCCCATGTTAGCCATGAAAGCCAGCTGGGTGACTTTGGGCCAGTCACTCTCTCTCTCAGGCCAACCCACCTCAGAGCATCTCATTACCAAACTAGGTAACATCATCAGTGCACCATTTGGTAATGAAACCTCTGCAAGAAAACCCCCAAGCTCGGAGCACCAAGGACCACACAGTCCAACTCTGAGTGACAAATATTTCTCTTCCATCGGTACTCTTGACTCACCCATTAAGGGTTCTGGGAAAGGAGCAATTTGTAGCGTACCCTTTTAAGCCTTTAATGGCTCCTGAGTTTGTTTGGAAATTTTTTTTTAAATTTTTAATTTGATTTATATGCCGCCCTTCTCCGGAGACTCAGGGCGGCTTACAATGCATTAAGCAATAGCCTTCATCCTTTTGTATATTTTTACAAAGTCAGCTTATTGCTCCCACAAACTGGGTCCTCATTTCACCTACCTTAGAAAGGATGGAAGGCTGAGTCGACCTTGAGCCTTGGAGAGATTTGAACCAGCAAGTAATTGCAGGCAGCTGTGTTAATAACAGGGTGCTTAGACCACTGTACTATCAAGGCTCTTAAGATCAAGAGAAGGTACATGTTCCTGCTTGCGTGGGGCAATTCACTTTCCATTGGCTAAAAAGTAGAATATCTCCAAATGGAATAATGGGGTTAATTAATAATTGCTCTCCCTGGAAGGCAACAGTTGCCCAGCCACAAGCGAAAGAAACAAAAGCCACAAACATATTTTGATTGGATTTAAACCCCTACCCAGAGGAATATCTTTGACAGGATGATGTCATGGGGGTGAACAGAAAGAGGAAGGGGTGTTTTTCCCCCCCACAAAACGTATTTGACTTTCAAGGCAAAGGAAGTTGAAAACTATCGCAGAAAAACACAATGATGTGTTGTTGCCAAGGAAACTGCGCAGGTATCTTCATGAAACCCAGAAGCTGAGTTTGATTCAAAAGAGACTTCATCTTAATTGGCCGGTTAAAGGGGAAATCCTCATTCAGTTGGCTCGGGACCAAGACTGATTAATTGTTCTAACAGTTAGGAAATTTCTCCTTAGTTCTAGATTGGTTCTCTCCTTGATTAATTTCCATCCATTGCTTCTTGTCCTGCCTTCAGGTACTTTGGAGAATGAGCTGACACCCCCTCCCCCTTCTTTGTGGCAGAAGATAGAACATCTGGACAGGATGACTTTAGAGCAGTGGTCCTTAAACTGTTTGATCTTATTGTCGTAAGTCGAGGACTACCAGTAACTGAAAAATAATGAAATTATCTCACCCGTTGCTTTTCTTCCTTTCGTTTTGCCAGGTTCGTTTGGAGTGGCCCACCGACCTGGCCGTCAACCCAATGGACAATTCTCTCTACGTTCTGGACAACAACGTCGTGTTGCAGATCTCCGAAAACCACCAGGTGCGCATCGTGGCAGGCCGGCCAATGCACTGTCAAGTCCCAGGGATTGACCACTTCCTTCTGAGCAAGGTAGCCATTCATGCCACGTTGGAATCGGCCACGGCGGTGGCGGTCTCACACAGCGGCGTCTTGTACATCGCCGAGACCGACGAGAAGAAGATCAACCGGATCCGACAGGTCACCACGAACGGCGAAATTTCGCTGGTCGCCGGAGCCCCCAGCGGCTGCGATTGTAAGAACGACGCCAACTGCGATTGCTTCTCCGGAGACGACGGGTATGCCAAGGACGCCAAGCTGAATGTTCCGGCTTCCCTCGCGGTGTGTGCTGATGGGGAGTTGTACGTGGCTGATCTTGGGAACATCCGGATCCGTTTTATCCGGAAAAATAAACCTTTCCTGAACACCCAGAACCTGTATGAATTATCCTCGCCCATTGATCAGGAACTCTACCTGTTTGATGCCAGCGGCAAGCACGTTTTCACGCAGAGCCTCCCGACCGGAGATTACCTGTACAATTTCACCTACACGGGAGATGGCGACATCACCCTCGTGACCGACAACAATGGAAATTTGGTTAATATCCGGAGAGATTCGACCGGGATGCCACTGTGGCTGGTGGTGCCAGATGGCCAGGTCTACTGGCTCACAATGGGCACCAACAGCGCCCTCAAGAGTGTGACAGCACAGGGCCAAGAAATAGCCATGATGACCTACCATGGCAATTCGGGCCTCCTAGCTACCAAGAGCAATGAAAATGGGTGGACCACATTTTACGAGTAAGTATTTCTCAATGTTTTTAAACTTGGAACATAAAACAGAACATTGGATACAGAGAGTCCTCAACTTACAAATTTCAGATTCGGTTGTGGTCGCAAGTCGAGAACTACCTGTGTCGGAACTGGAAGGGTTCCCTCAGAGGTCATCTAGACTGACACACACCCATCTCTGTGGTCACACAAGACTGCAGTTTTAAGCACTCAGCTACTGGGCTGTATTTAATGACGGTTTTGCGATGTCCCGCATTTGTAAGATTTCATTTCACGATGGTTTTGCTGATGTTTTCTTCTGGATTTTGTCTGAATCGGAAGCTTCTGTTCGACCGTTGGAGAAATGATAACATGCCATGGTAGCCTTGTGTGTCCTTTTTTAAAGGGTTTTGTGGCTTGTCATCACTCTTGTGGAACTGTATTCCATGAAGGTAGTCAGAAAAACAGTGATTTGTAATGATCTTCCTGGGTATTAAGATCTGAAATTTTAGAGCCGTATTATTCAACTTTAAGTTTGAAGATGTGTGGAGTTCAGCTTCCCAGATTTGAAGGGAAGAGAAGGGAAGGAGAGAAGAGAGGAGAGGAGAGGAGAGGAGAGGAGAGGAGAGGAGAGGAGAGGAGGAGAGGAGAGGGAAAAGGCGAAAGGAAAGGGAATGGGGAAAGGGAAAAGGAAAGGAGAAAGGAAAGGAAAGAAAAAGGGGAAAGGGAATGGGGAATGGAGAAAGGAAAGGAAAGGAAATGAGAAAGGAAAGGAAAGGAAAGGAGGAAAGAAAAGGGAGAGAGAGGAGAGGAGAGGAAAGGAAGGAAGTTTCTTGGGTGATCAAGAGGAATGTCTACAGCCCATCCACACTTAGGATTTCATTCTATGCTGCCTTTTCAATTGTAAAGAAGTTTCTGTTTGAGCAGGAACATTTTACACCTCATTCTGCATCTAATTAAAAACAGCAGTTAAAAGGAATATTAATCTCTCGCTCTGCAACTTTCTCCACCAAGGGAAGCCACGGGCACACAGCATAGGTGAAATGCCACCCCTTAAATTGCACAAGTCCCCCACACTAGAAATCTACACACTAGAAATGTCATAACACTTCATAACAAGAGTGAACTCATTTTTAAATCGGTGGGATGTCGTGCTTCCTTGACCGAAAATCTGGTGCTTTGACCTAGGTCAGTGATGGCGAACCTTTTCGGAACCGAATGTCCAAACCGGAACGCATGTGCACGCGCCGGAGCACCGGAAACCCAAGACCAGCTGGCCGGCGCACACATGCCTGTTTTTTGGCCGTTTTTTGGCCGATAAACCGCCCAAAAAAGGCCCGGAAATGGCCTGGTTTTTGGCCGTTTTCAGGCCGTTTTCTGGTGCTCTGGCACCCACGAAGACCAGCTGGCTGGTGCCGAAAACCAGAAGAGCTGCTGGCAATGGTGCACATGCCCACAGAGTGGGCTCTGCGTGCCACCTCTGGCACACGTGTCATAGTTTCACCATCACGGGCCTAGGAAATACCCTTCTCTGTCAGACTGCGGTGCTATCTCAAAATTAAATGAATTTCCAAACTGCCAATCTTTAAGGAAATCTTTCTTTAATTGAGCTCAGCCACCAGATCATGACTCCGCGCGGACAAGACTGACCTTTTGCCTCCCAATCCCTCCCTTTCCGATCCCCAAATCTCTGCTTCTCATTGGCTGTCTTCCAAGTCATTTTTCAGGCTTCTTTTCCCCGTCATTTCCCAGGAATGTGCCCCCTCCCCTCATTTCCACAACAACCGGGCTTCAAAGGGATTTAGCAGGCAAAAGTCTCAGAGTTTATCTTTCGCTCTCCTCTGCTCCCTCTGTGCCAGCATTGCAATGCTGACACTCGGTTTATCTCGCTCTTTAATTCATGTTCATACGTCTCCTTCTTTTCCAGATACGACAGCTTTGGACACCTCACTAACATCACTTTCCCAACCGGTCAAGTCACCACTTTCCGGAGCGATACGGACAGCTCTGTCCACGTCCAGATTGAGACCTCCAGCAAGGACGATGTAACCATCACCACCAACCTTTCGGCATCGGGGGCCTACTACACCCTCCTGCAAGGTAAAACCCAACCTATTTTGATAGCTTCCTCCTGTGAGATCTTTTAAGTTTTTCTTCATTGAACTGGGGTACGACAACCTTTAGAGCAGAGTTCCCCAAACTTTCCGGCTTTGCGGATTGGCCGGGGGGGGGGGCAGAGGATGGTTATGGTTTCGCACCACCGGCCGGCAAATGTGCGCGCACACAGCTCCGTTTGCACAAGCGGCAGGCACGCGCGCAGGCCGCTCGTGCAGATGGAGCTCGAACGCTCGCCCGCTGCTTGCGCAAGTGGGGATGTGCATGCATGTACTCGCCCGCCGTTTCCATGGCCCAATTCCGAATGGCTGACGACAGAGTAGTGATCCGTGGGCTGGGGATTGGGGACACCTGCTTTAGAGAAAAAGCTGGATAAAGTCTCTCTTGAACAGAAGTTATAAATAAAAGACCCTAACACTGAAAGTTATTTCTGAGTTTGTTAACTCTAATCATTGTATGAAGATTTTGAAAGGTAAGGATTTTGGGCCAATCACCAGGAGACTGTGAGTTATAGTCCCATTTTAGGCATGCAAGACGGCTAGAGGATTTTGAGCCGATTACCAGGAGAGAGTGAGTTGTAGTCCTGCCTTAGGCATGAAAGCCAGCTGGCTGACTTTCGGCTATGAAAACCAGCTAGGTGATTTTGGGCCAATTACCAGGAGAGAGTGAGTTCTAGTCCTTCCTTAGGCATGAAAGCCAACTGGGTGATTTTGGGCCAGTTGCCAGGTGACGGTGAGTTCTAGTACCACCTTAGGCATGAAAGCTGGCTAGGTGATTTTGAACTAATTACCAGGAGAGACTGAGTTCTAGTCCTTTCTTAGGCATGAAAGCCAGCTGGGTGACTTTGGGCCAATTACCAGGAGAGAGTGAGTTCTAGTCCCATTTTAGGCATGAAAGCCAGCTAGATTGTTTTGGACCAATTACCAGGAGAGAGTGAATTCTAGTCCCTCCTTAGGCATGAAAGCTGGTTGGGTGACTTTGGGCCTAATACTCCCTCCCTCATCACAACCCACCTCACAGAATTGCTGTTGTGAGGAAAATAAGAGGAGGAGGAAGCATTATGAGCGTTCACCACCTTGAGTTATTTATAACAATAATAAAGTTGCAATAAAAATTAATGAATAAAATAAATAATGGGAGAATAAAGAAAATGACTTTTGTCAAGATAATGATTTAAGAGCTGACCAGCTGCTACAATGATGTAATGCTGGGAATGAGTCAGCAAGGTTTTTTGGCTGATATCACTTTAAAAGCCTGTAATAAGAAGAGGCCCTGTTTGGGCGTATCTCTCCATGTGTGCTTCGGTACTGTAATTGCTGATTGGTGTTTGTTTGAGGTCTGACTATGTATGTATATATTCTTTGTAGATAAAACCACTATTTAAATACAAACCTCTGTTTACTGTATTTGCTCCTGGGATTGTCTCACATAGTCACACTGTACGCACTCTTGATAACCTTAATGGCAATATGCAAGAACCAATATATATATATATATATTGGTCTATCCTAGCTTAGCGCCTGCCAGGCGTGTAGGACTTCAGGGTATCCGCTGGAAAAGTCTACAATATCTTCTGTACCCAAAAAACAAGACCATCTCTAACTGATTCAGCCGTTTTAGAAAAATTAAAATGCCAGATTAATGCTGGAAGGAAAACTCGGCTCCACCTCAGGAGTCTAATTAAGCAACAAAAAACACTTTTAGGACTCTTTGGGGAGTTAATTGAATAGGCCGCGATTTAAACGGCCAGAGCTAAGTAAAAGTCTATAATAATTGTCTCTTGATCGAGCATCTCAATATTCAGTTGCTCTGAGCTGCTTCTGGGAACCATCAGGGTCGGAGGTCGTCACTCAGATAGCGGATATAGGTAGTCCTGAATTTACAACCATTAGTTTAGTGAACAAAGCTAAAATAGCACTGAAAAAAAACGAGTTACGACTGTTTTTCAGACTCATGAGCATTTGCAGCATCCTCAAAATTGTGATCAAAATTCAGACACTCGGCAACTGGCATGTACTCACGACAGTTGCAGTGTCCCAGGGTCACATGATCCCCTTTTGCGGCCTTCTGACAAAGGGAAGCCAGATTCACTTAACAGCTGGGTTACTAACTTAAGAACTGCAGCGATTCCCTTAACAGCGGGGGCAGGACAGGTCATAAAACAGGACAAGACTCACTTAACAAGCTGTCTCGCTCAGCCCCGGAAATTTGGGGCGCAGTTGTGGCCGTAAATGGAGGATTACCGGTAATGGACTCGATTTGAGGGAACAGGGTGTGCCGTTTTTCCAAATGAAACATTTGGATGAAATTTTAACAGGTGAAATTTGGCATCAATAACGTGGCCTCTCTCAATTAGCACGTGGGGGTGCAGCTCATTAAAGGAAGCTACTTGGGGGGGCATGGAAATGAGAACAAATCTTTTCATTAGCGGAAGATTTGAAAGCCAGCATACTGTTGAACTGGTTAACCACTGAGGGGTCCTCGGTGCTCTCTGAACTTGCTTGTTTTCTTGCAGACGTATCGTTACCCAACTAGGTAACCTCATCAGTGATAGAAGGGAGGAGGGTTTGAAGAGGAGGAGGAGGAGAACTGTGGACTCCTTGGTGCTCTCTGAGCTTCCTTGTTTTCTTGCAGACGTTTCATTACCCAATTAGGTAGCATCATCAGTGCTAGAAGGGAGTGGGGTTTGTGGAGAGGAGGAGGAGGAGGAGGAGAACGGCGACTGTGGGGTCCTTGGTGCTCTCTGAGCTTCCTTGTTTTCTTGTAGACGTTTCATTATCCAACTAGGTAACATCATCAGTGCTAGGGATGATGTGATAACGCTCGCACTGATGATGTTAGGGTAATGCAAGAAAACAAGCAAGCTTAGAGAGCACCAAGGACCTCTCACTTCAGCCCTGAGCTACAAATATTCTCCTTTATTGGTGATCCACTCCGAATCCTGATAATTAAAGCACTCACATTTTCTGGCCCACTTTGTTTCATGTTTCCTTTGCCTAACTAATGTGAGCTGCGGAGGGTTGGCTCGGCTGCCTATCTAAGGTTGTTGTCGGGATTTTTTCCCCGTGTAGATCAAGTGCGCAACAGCTACTACATCGGGGCAGACGGTTCTCTCCGCCTGATATTGGCAAACGGCATGGAGGTGGCTCTCCAGACTGAACCCCATCTCCTGGCGGGCACCGTGAACCCCACGGTGGGGAAGAGGAACGTGACTCTGCCCATCGACAACGGTCTCAACCTGGTCGAGTGGCGGCAACGGAAAGAACAATCCAGAGGCCAGATCACCGTGTTCGGACGCAGGCTGAGGGTGAGTGGACCGTTCCCGGTCAGAACTGGTGGGAATTGGAATTATTCTGGTCACCTGGAAAGGGTTAAATCACTTCCAGGTATTGTCTGAAAGGGACATGCAAAACGGGGTGAATTCTGCGTTGATTTTCCTTTGCAGCAGGAAGGGACAACTTTTAAAAATTACAGCCAGAGTGGGGGAAAAAATTGGAACTTTGATTTTGGATTTTATCGATTAGATCGATTTGCCGTTAAAGAAATGGTTAGTTTAAACCAATGATGGCTAACCTTTTCCGGACGGAGTGCCCAAAGTGTGTGCCCGAACCCCCAAAATGCAATGCTCCCCTGCACATGCCCTGCGGCCCCACCGCTCGCGCCCCACCCAAATGCACACGCAGCAGAGACCCTATGACCCACTGGCCGGGGGGAGCCGCCGACGCAAGCATGGCAGAGATGAATTGGGGCGATGGCTTGCGTGCCCACAGACAGGGCACGCGTTCCACCTGTGGCAAGCATGCCATAGGTTCGCCATCACGGGATTATTATTATTATTATTATTATTATTATTATTATTATTATTATTATTATTATTATTATTATTATTATTGGTTCGATTTATATGCCGCCGTTCTCCGGAGACTCAGGGCAGCTTACAATGCGTTAAGCAATAGCCTTCATACTTTTGTATGTACGTGCTTAGTAGGGCTTTCAGCCCCCCCCCAAGCGGTGTTCTTTTTTATACAAAGTCAGTTTATTGCCCCCACAATCCGGGTCCTCATTTTACCTACCTCGGAAGGATGGAAGGCTGAGTCAACCTTGAAACTTTAATAATAGTTTAAACTATTAACGTCAAAATAAAAAGTTGAGGTATGATGTGAATGCTTTATTCTACTGCACCGAAAGGAGTCAGCAGTCAATGCCTTTTTTTTTCTTTTCATCCTCCTTTTCCTGACTTTTCCCTTCCTTCCTTCCTTTCTCCCGTCCCTATTTTTCCTGTTTCCTTCTTTGTTTTTTTCTATGTTACAACATAAACTGATAAAACTGTTAAATGTGAAAGAACCGAGATATTATGATGAACAGCTTAAAATACTTCGCCGGATCCCAGCGTATGGATTTTCAAATCTTTCCTTCCTTCTTTTTCTTGCATCTCATATAAGAGTGTCTGTGGAGATTCTCCATCATTCAGGTCGTGGTTGTGTCAAAAGTGCTTGTTTTGCAAGAGGCAACTGGACTTTCTGGTTTTTCTTTGAAGACGTTTCGCTTCTCATCCAAGAAGCTTCTTCAGCTCTGACTAGATGGTGGGGAATGGAAAGATTTATACTCCTTGCAGACAGTTGGTCATTTGCATCCTTTCAGAGAGTCGTTGAGGCCACTTGGAGATTTGTCTGTGTCCTCGGAGTCACCAGAGCGGTGCAAATGGTTGTGGAGCCTTCTTGGAACTTCTGAAAGGACTGTGTTGTGGAGCTGTCCTTTTGCAGAATGTTTCTACAATACAGACAAACCTCCAAGTGGTCTCAACGACCCTCTAAAAGGATGCAAATGACCGGCTGTCTGCAAGGAATATAAATCCTTTCATTCCTCCACCATCCAGTCAGAGCTGAGGAAGCTTCTCGGATGAGAAACGAAACGTCTTCAAAGAAAACCCAGAAAGTCCAGTTGCCTCTTGAAAAAGCACCTTTGGGATCTCATATAAGAGGTTTTTTACAAATACGCAAAAACCCTCTTTGCCATTTGCCTTAGGAGAAACCAAAGAGATTGTTCTGACCGGTAGTTAATGATTCCCATCTTACTAAAGCTTTCGGTCGTTGTCCTAATTCTTCTTCTGAACCCGTAGGTTCATAACCGAAATTTGTTATCCCTTGACTTCGACCGCGTGACACGAACCGAGAAGATTTACGACGACCACCGGAAATTCACTCTGCGCATTCTCTACGACCAGGCGGGACGGCCTACGCTCTGGTCTCCTAGCAGTCGTCTGAATGGGGTGAACGTCACCTATTCCTCCGGGGGTCATATAGCTGGGATCCAAAGGGGTACTATGTCCGAAAGAATGGAATACGACCAAGCAGGCAGAATTTCATCCAGAATGTTTGCAGACGGCAAATCTTGGACCTACACGTATTTAGAGAAGGTGAGTGCCGTAGAGAAGAGGGGTCTCTAAAGGTTTAGCCAACTGAAACATTGTGAGTCACCCTCTCTGCCTCTTTGAACGGTATTTATCTACTACAGGTTGTCAACTCACAAAGCATCCCCGGCCTGATCTCAAGTTGCTATAGGCCAGGGAGGATGGGAAACTGGAGAAAAGGCATGGCAGCCAAAGACAGATGCACGTTTCATGCTTATCTCTCTCAAGGCTGTATCCCAGGGTTATCTACAGCAGCCGCAGGGGAGTGACTTCTACAACCTGCAAAATTGCTCTGTTGGCGAATGTGATTGATGACACACACTGGGGGGGAAACAGGGTCATAATTGGGGCGTAAATTACGTAGGGCCAGAGCTGGCTTTACTTGGGAACGTGCCGACATGAAGCTCCTAATAAATAACTTGATTTCTTTTGAGGCTTGGCTCGAGGTTCATGATTTAATTAGGGCATCTGTCAGAACCCTGACACAGGTAGTCCTTGGCTTACAACCATTCATTTAGTGAAATGAAATTCGGAGGCTTGGCAACTGGTATGTATTTATGACTGTTGCAGTGTCCCCGTGTCATGTGATCAACGTTTGCGACCTCCTGGCGAGCAAAGTCAATGGGGAAGCCACTTAATTGTGTTACTAACTTAACAGCTGCGATGATCCCACTGAACAACTGTGGCAAGAAAGGTCATAAAATGGGGCAAAACTCACTTAACAACTGACTCGCTCAGCAACCAAAATTTTGAGCTCAACTGCGGTCGTAGGTCGAGGACTACCTGTATGTACTCCCTGTCATTCTTGTAATGTGACATCTCTTTTGCCTCTTGAAAAAAAGCACCTTTCGGACTTGAAACTTCGTGTTCTCTCTGGCATCTTTTCAACCTTAAGAAGTTTTGTAAGTAACTTTTGGACAACGTTGGTCAAAGCGTAAACAATCCACTTTCTGTATCCCACTACAAAACTTAGCCATAATAATAATGATGACAAAAATGTTCTTGTTATAACTTATTTTTCCTCTTCTGATTACAGTCCATGGTCCTGCTTCTTCACAGTCAGCGGCAGTACATTTTTGAATTCGATAAGAACGATCGCTTGTCGTCCGTAACGATGCCCAACGTAGCTCGGCAGACCTTGGAGACACTTCGATCAATTGGCTACTACAGGAATATCTACAGGCCTCCAGAAGGCAACGCCACGGTGGTCGAAGACTTCAATGAGGAATGGCAACTCCTTCACACCTATTACTTGGGGACCGGAAGACGGGTCATCTACAAGTACGGCAAGCTGTCCAAACTGGCAGAGATGCTCTATGACACCACCAAAATCAGCTTCAGCTACGATGAGACCGCAGGCATGTTGAAGACCATCAACCTCCAGAACGAAGGGTTCACCTGTACCATCAGGTACCGACAGATCGGGCCCCTCATTGACCGCCAGATTTTCCGTTTCACGGAAGAAGGCATGGTGAACGCCCGTTTCGATTACAACTACGACAACAGCTTCCGGGTGACCAGCATGCAAGCCGTGATCAACGAAACCCCGTTGCCTATTGACCTCTACCGTTACGATGATGTGTCGGGCAAAACCGAGCAATTTGGCAAATTTGGAGTGATCTATTATGACATCAACCAGATCATCACCACGGCGGTCATGACCCACACGAAACATTTTGACGCGTACGGTCGGATGAAGGAAGTTCAGTACGAAATATTCAGGTCCCTCATGTACTGGATGACCGTACAGTACGACAACATGGGGAGAGTGGTGAAAAAGGAATTGAAAGTGGGCCCTTACGCCAATACCACAAGGTACTCGTACGAATACGACGCCGACGGCCAATTGCAGACGGTGTCCATCAACGAGAAACCGCTCTGGAGATACAGTTACGACCTCAATGGGAATCTCCATTTGTTGAGTCCCGGCAACAGCGCCCGTCTGACGCCGCTGAGGTACGATCTCAGGGACCGGATTACGAGACTAGGCGACGTGCAGTATAAGATGGACGAAGATGGCTTCCTGAGGCAAAGGGGGAATGACATTTTTGAGTACAACTCCGCAGGACTTCTCATCAAGGCCTACAACAAAGGCAACAAGTGGAGCGTGAAGTATCATTATGACGGGCTTGGAAGGAGAGTCTCCAGCAAAACCACCCACGGTCATCATCTGCAGTTCTTCTACGCGGACCTCACCAACCCCACCAAGGTCACCCATCTGTACAACCACTCCAGCTCAGAGATTACCTCTCTCTATTACGACCTTCAGGGTCACCTCTTTGCCATGGAGGTGAGCAGTGGAGATGAATTCTACATCGCTTGCGACAACATCGGGACCCCCTTGGCGGTCTTCAGCGGAACGGGCCTCATGATCAAGCAGATCCTTTACACGGCTTACGGAGAGATCTACATGGATACCAACCCAAACTTCCAAATTATCATCGGTTATCACGGAGGTCTGTACGATCCCCTCACCAAACTCATCCACATGGGGAAGAGAGACTACGACGTCCTAGCCGGAAGGTGGACCAGCCCCAATCACGGCATATGGAAACGTCTCAGCCACAGCAACATCATGCCCTTCAACCTCTACATGTTCAAAAACAACAATCCGATCAGTAACGCCCAGGATATCAAATGCTACATGACAGGTAAAAATCCATGTTCAGTTCATTCGTTAACTGCCCAGGGTAGAACTGGGACTGGGGTGGGTAACGCGTGGGGTTTGCCATGATGCTTTGGACCTCATCCGCAGAATGGATGCCATAGCTTCCTGGGAAGGTGCATGCAAGTTTCTATACATAGCGCAGTGATGGCGAATCTTTTAGAGCAGGGGTCTTCAAACTTGGCAACGTTAAGACTGGTGGACTTCAACTCCCAGAATTCTCCAGCCAGCTGGCTGGAGAATTCTGGGAGTTGAAGTCCACCAGTCTTAACGTTGCCAAGTTTGAAGACTCCTGTTTTAGAGACTGAATGCCCAAAATGCAACCCAAAACCCACTTATTTATCGCAAAGTGCCAACACGGCAATTTAACCTGAATAATGAGATTTTACTATCTCAAATAATGGTAAGCAACGCAGAGTTCAGCTAATTGTTCTAAGAAAAAACGTGATAAATGCACTTTTATGCCCATTTTTTTTTTTTTTGCTTTTGAAATACTACATTTAGCAACAATATCATTTCTCTCTTTCCCTTTCTCTCTCTCTTTCCCTCCCTCTTTCTTTCTCTCTTTCCCTACCCCTCTCCCTTCCCCCTCTCTCTTTCTCTCTCTCTCTCTCTCTCTCTTTCCCTCCATCTTTCTTTCTCTCTCTCTCTTTCCCTACTCCTCACCCTTCCTCCTCTCTCTTTCTCTTTCTCTCTCTCTCTCCCTCCATCTCTCTCTCTTTCCCTCCCCCTCTCTTTCTCTTCCCCTCCGTCCCTCTCTTTCCCTCCCTCTCTCTCTCCCCCCTGCGGGAGAAATGCAATGGAGCTGGGCTGGGGCAACAGTGCACCTGCCCATAGAGATGGCTCTAAGTGCCACCTCTGGCACGCATGCCATAGGTGATTGAAATAGCGTCTTCCATTTAAAAGAGCCCATTTGGTGTAGTGGTTAAGGTGCTGGCCTGGAAACCAGGAGAAGGTGAGTTCTAGTCCCACCTTAGGCGTGAAAGCCAGCTGGGTGACTGTGGGCCAATCACCAGGAGACTGTGAGTTATAGTCCCGCCTTAAGCGTGAAAGCCAGCTGGGTGACTTTGGGCCAATCACCAGGAGACTGTGAGTTCTCATCCCGCCTTAAGCGTGAAAGCCAGCTGGGTGATTTGGGGCCAATCACCAGAAGGCGGTGAGTTCTAGTCCTGCCTTAGGCATGAAAGCCGACTGGTGACTTTGGGCCAATAGTCAGGAGACAGAGTTCTAGTCCCATTTTAAGCATGAAAGCCAGTTGGGAGACATTGGTCCAATCACCAGGAGACGGTGAGTTCTAGTCCTGCCTTAGGCAAGGAAGCTGACTATGTGATTTTGGGCCAATCCCAAAATAGGAGACAATGAGTTCTAGTTCTGTCTAAGGCCGTGATGGTGAACCTATGGCACGGGTGCCACAGGTGACACGCGGAGCCATATTGGTGGGCACGCGAACTCAGCTCCGGCACGCATGTGTGCGCCAGCCAGCTGATTTTCGGGCCTTCTGGGGCCACCAGAAATCAGGAAACACACTGTTTCCGGCCTTCGGAGGACCTTGGGAGGGGAAGGCCATTTTTGCCCTCCCCAGGCTCCTAGAAAGGCTCTGGAGCCTGGGGAGAGCAAAAAACGGGCCTACCGGGCCCACCGTGCCATCGCGTGCCAAAAGCGGGGGGGGAGCAAGGGGGGGTGCATAGAATTATGGATGTGGGCACGCGTGCGTGTGACCCCACCGTACTCCCCCCGCTTTTGGCGCACGATGGCAAAAAGGTTAGCCATCTATGGTCTAAGGCATGAAAGCCGACAGAGTAGCTGGGTGACTTTGGGCCAATCACTAGGAGACGGTGAGTTCTAGTCCCACCTTAGGCCTGAAAGCAGTCTGGGTGACTTCTGGACACTTTCTCTCAGCCCAACCCACCTCACAGGGTTGTTGTTGTTGTGGGGGGAAAAAAATAGGAGGAATTATGATCTCTGCCTTTGAATTACTTATATAAAAAAATAATAATAGATGAGGTAAAAATATCATAAATAAATAAAGGCTTCAGGACGTTGTCTGATGTATTTTCACCTCAGTTACTGGAGACCAAAAACCCTGAAGAACAAATACTCGGATTTAACAAATAACCCTGCTTTTAAAGCAATTGTCCAAGCAATTGTGTCATAATTTCCTTGCTTTGACTCTGTGGGATTAAAGGGTGATTAACGCCCTTCTAATTTTTTTGTCACTTTTCAGAGGGATATTATTGGGGGGCCGCAGCTGGCACCCAGATCGTAAACGGCCTCTAAATAAAACTGCATAAAAGAGGCTTTTTTTTTTTCGCCACAGAAGCCTCCGAAATCCTTTCTAATCCTGACCTTTCCATCAATCCTTTTTAAAAATAACAGTGCGGTGAAATGTTAATTCATCCATGAGAATTGTTATTTTAAAGGGCAGTGGGGGAAAAAAAAAACCCCACACAACTGTTGCAGATCAGGCAGGAGGAGAGACTGGCCAAGGAAATGAAATCCCATTGAAGCTGGAGGAATTATTTGGGAATAAATTATTTGGGAATGGGTGTAATTCTCCCCTCCGGATGCCGCTACAGGGCCTTGCATGCCAAAACCACTACAGGTAGACCTCGACTTAACAACAGTTCACTTAGTGACCATTCAGAGTTACAACAGCACCGGAAAAAACAACTTGCGACCATGCTTCACACTTACAGCCTGTGCAGCCTCCCCGTGGTCGCGTGATTTACATCCAGAGGCTCGGCCACTGACTCGCCTTTATGGCGGTGGCAGTCCTCTGAAGTCACGTGATCCCCTGTGGCGACCTTCTGACGAGTCAGAAGGCCGGTTCACTTAACGACCGTCTGACTTAATTTAAGACCTGCAGCGAATTCACTTAATAACAAATGAGGCGAGGAAAGTTGCAAAAGGGAGCAAGATCACTTAACAAATGTCTCAGTCAGTGGTGGGTTGCTCCCGGTTCTGTCCGGTTCTATAGAACCGGCAGTAAAACCGGCGGGAGGCTCCGCCCACCCGGCATGACGTCATCATTGGTGATCTGCGCATGTGCAGAAGTGTCTGCGCATGTGCAGAAGAGCGCACGAGCGCATACGCGCAATCCCGCTGCGAACCGGTAGCAAAGGTAAGTGGAACCCACCCCTGGTCTCAGTTAACAACATAAATGTTGGGCTCGTTTGTGGTCATAAGTTGAGGACTCCCTGTAGACACAAAAATAGTTTTTTTTTCCCCTTGTGCCATTGCTCTGCTAAGCACCTAATTCGCCCAGCCCTGTCTTGTGCCTAAAAATATTTACCCATGTAGTAGGCAGGGGTGAAATTTGACCGGTTCGGGCGAAACGGTAGAGACGATTTGAATTGGTTCGCCGAACCGGTAAAAACCACCCCTGGTTGGCCGTGCCCGCGCTCGCCGCTCACCCCTTCCAGCCGCTCGCTCACTCAAACCATTCAACGTTAAATGCTGCAGCAGAGAGAATCCGAAATTTTCTCCCTCCATTCACAGCGGAGCCGCTGCAGCCTGTCCCTTTAAGGTAGTCCCCGGGAGGGAAGGGGCTGTGTAGGGACCATAAAGGGAGCAGTAGCTCCGCTGTGAATGGAGGGAGAAAAGTTTGGCACTGGTTAATTGTTCTAACTTTCAGGAAATTTCTCCTTATTTCTAGGTTGCTTCTCTCCTTGATTAGTTTCCACCCGTTGCTTCTTGTCCTGCCTTCAGGTGCTTTGGAGAATAGCTTGATTCTCTCTTCTTTGTGGCAGCCCCTCAGATATTGGAAGACTACTATCATGTCTCCCCTAGTCCCTCTTTTCATCAAACTTACGGGACCGCCTACTACCACAAACAGCCTCCCACCGGCCGGTACGGTCTCATAGAGAGGGGCTCCTCCAGGTGCCGTCAGCCAAACAATGTCGACTGGCGGCCCCTAGGGGGAGGGCCTTCTCTGTGGGGGCACCTACTATCTGGAACGAGCTCCCCCCGGAGATACGGAGGATCCCTGATCTGCGCACTTTCCGCCGTGCTTTGAAGACACTCCTATTCCAGCAGGCCGGCCTGGCCTAATTTTTTCCCCTTCTTCTAAATTTTTAAACTCAAATTTTAATTCGTTTTAAATTATTGGGGGTTTTAAATTGTCTCAGGCAAAAATTATTTAATTGGGTTTTAATCATGTCTTAACTTTTGTATTTATGTGTTTTATTTCGTGCCTGTTCACCGCCCTGAGTCCTTCGGGAGTAGGGCGGTATACAAATTTAATAAAATGAAATGAAAATGAAATGAAAAAACTAGACCTACCCAATTCCAGCAACCGTTCTTCGTATGTTTTAGCCTCCAGCCCCCTAATCCTCTTTGTTGCCCTTCTCTGCACTCTTTCTAAAGTCTCAACATCTGTTTTACATCGTGGCGACCAAAACTGGATGCAGGATTCCAAGTGTGGTCTTACCAAGGCCTTATAAAGTGGCATTAACACGTCACATGATCCTGATTGTATCTCTCTGTTGATGCAGCCTAGGATTGTGTTGGCTTTTTTGGCTGCTGCCGCACACAGCTGGCTCATATTTAAGAGATTGTCCACTAGGACTTCCAAGATCCTTCTCACCAGTTGAGTCAAGTACCGCTTATACTACACCTGTGCGTTTAACCTTTTGGCTAGCATGTAACCTTCTGGTTTTTCTCTTCCCGTTCCAGATGTCAACAGCTGGCTGCTTACCTTTGGTTTCCAGTTGCACAACGTCATCCCTGGGTATCCTAAACCTGAAATGAACGCTATGGAGCCATCCTATGAGCTCACCCACACCCAGCTGAAAACCCAGGAATGGGACAATAGCAAGGTAATTAGAAGTCTTTGATTTCCAATAAGACCAACTTTTGAATGGTGGCTACTTTATCCCAGAGGAAACTTTCTCTCTCTCTCTTTTTTTTTTTTTTTGAAAAAGTTTTTCAGTTTTATTTCTTATACACATAATATAAAATGTACATTTTCTTATACATAATTAATCCTACATACACGTTTTCCTTAAAGAAAGCATTAAAATAAGGCATTTTAATTACATTCTCTTCTACCCTTTCTTCCCTCATTTCACAACAACCCTTCTTCTTCTTCTCCTACTTTCTCTTCCCTCCCCTCCTACCTCATCCTACTTCCCCTTCCTTTCCCCCACTTCTCTCTTCTTTTCCCCCTACTCACCTTCTCTCCTACTCCTATCCCCTACCCTTCCTTCCTCTGCTTTTCCCTTTCTTCCATTCCCCTCCCTCCCTCCCTCTCCTCTTCCTACCCTCTACTCCTCTCTCCTTTCTATCTTCTTTGCTGTGGAATATTCTCCTTGTTTGGTATCCGAGCAACTCCTGTATTCTAATAGTATATACTTTCTTTCGATTTCTTTTCAGATTTATTCTATCAGTATTATCATCCTAATTGTACACTTATTCTTATTATCTTCTTTCTTTTCCCCTCTCTCCTCCCCCTTTTTCATTTACTCTGGTGTCATCTGGGTTTCTATTTCTTTTTTATCCTCTCCCTCGTTTAACGTTCTTATTATCTAAATCATTTATCTATCCCAGAGGAAACTTTCATTGGGAGGTGAAGTATATGTACAGATAAGTCCCTGAATTACCATCATTTGCTTTAATGACCATTTGAAGTTACAACACCACTAAAAAAATGACTTAAGGACTATTTTTCACAACTTTTGCAGCATCCCCATGGCCTAATTCAGGTGTTTGGCAACTGGCTCATATTTATGACGATCCCGGGGTCCCCTTTTGCAACCTTCCGACGAGCAAAGTCAATGGGGGGAAGCCCGATTCACTTAACAGCCGTGTTACTCAACTGCGGTGATTCACTTAAGAACTGGTAGTACAAGGGTTTAAGGCACCCTGTTATTAAGCTGCTTAAGACCAGCTGCCTGCAATTACTGCAGGGTTCGAATCTCGCCAAGGCTCAAGGTTGACTCAGCCTTCCATCCTTTCTAAGGTAGGTGAAATGAGGACCCAGTTTGTGGGGGCAATAAGCTGACTTTGTATAAATATACAAAAAGGATGAAGGCTATTGCTGAGCACATTGTAAGCCGCCCTGAGTCTTCGGAGAAGGGCGGCATATAAATCAAATTAAAAAAAAAAAACAAAAAACTGTGGCCAGAAAGGTCATAAAATGAGGCAAAACGCACCCAGCAACTTTCTTGCTTAACAACAGAAATGTTGGGCTCCGTTATGGACCACCTGTAGCCTTTCTGATGTTCTACTACTCTTCTACAGGTAGTCCTCCACTTACGACTGGTTGCACAGCGACTATTCAAAGTTACAACAGAACGTAAACAAAAGCTGCTTACGACCCAGATATAAAGTTCCAATGGTTGCCCCACTCTCCCATTCGGACACTTCAAACCAGTTCCCATATATATCCATTTGAAGCATCCCGTGGTCACTGACCATGATTTATCATATCTTTGCAAGAAGAACCAAGAAGTTTTTTTAACAAAATACATTGCAAAAAAAAAAAGTTCTTATAATCGGGCACAATCCTGTATTGACCCACTTAATGACCGGCACAAACGATGAGCGTTGTTCCAGGCTCAGTTATGTTGTAACCTGAGGACTACCTGTACAAACAGCATTTTTTTTCAAACTTGGCAATTTTAAGATCACGTGGATTTCGACTCCCCAAATTCCCCAGCCAGCATGGGAGTCGAAGTCCACCCATCTTAAATTTGCTGTGTTTGAAAAACCTTGCTCTTACAACACTTACAATTCTCTGAAAATGTTGGCCTTTATCAGGTAAACACGATCTCCCCTCTAATATTTCCTGGGGTTCTTTTTTTCCCCTTTTTTTCCTTCCATCGGGAAACAGAAAGATGAAACAGCGTGGGGAACAAATTTCAAAGGCGAGATCCGTTATCTTTTTGAACTCTGCCTAATCTGTTTGTGTCCCTTTTAAAAAACAAAAAACATTTGCAGCCCCAGAGCCTTTTTCTGAAGAGAAATCAACTTTTCCCTCGATGCATTACGTTTATTATTTAAAAGGCTGTATTCAAGGTCATTCTGTCTTCAAATTAAGCAGCTTTCTGAAGGCACAGGACTTATTTTGAGATAACAAATAGGTTTGGTTTTTTTAAAATTACAATTCCAGTGATATTCATGATAACATTTCGTTGTGGTTGGCAAATATCCTGGGCTGCAGGGCTAAAATTGTCTTTAAAATTGGCACGACTCTGAATTTTGGAGCAACTCCCATTATTTTGGCCCAGACTACAGGCAGTCCTCAACTTACGACGACAATCGGGACCAGAATTTTCATTGCTAAGGAAGGCCATTGTTAAAGGACTCGGGCCTGATTTTACCACCTTTTTTGCCATCTTGTTATATGAATCACTGCAGTCGTTAAATGAATCACACAGACATTAAGTGACTTCCCTATTGACTTTGTTTGTCAGAAGCTGGCAGGGAAGGTCGCAAAATAGCAGTCACATGCAGAGGTGGGAATCATTTACCTTCCCTACCGGTTCGCAAATGTGAGCGCGTGCGCGCATTATGACTTGCCGGGTGAACGGAGCCTCCCACAGTCGCCACTACCGGTTTGACAGAACTGGCTGAATCCCACCACTGGTCACATGACCCTGAGACTCTGCAACCATCATAAATACATATCCATATCGGTTGTCAAGTGACCGAATTTTGATCACATGACTGTGAGAATGTTGCGGTGGTTATAAGTATGAGGACTGATCGTAAGTCATTTTTTTTAGTGCTTTTCTTACTTTGAATAGTCACTAAATACTGTAAGTCGAAGACTGCCTGTAAGTAATTTGTGAGGGCTTTATGATCGTCTAAGCAAGACAGTTCTTAAGTGAGTTTTGCTCCATTTTATGTCCTTCCTTGCCACGGTTGTTAAGCGAATCTGGCTTCCCCATTGACTTTGCTTGTCTGAAGGTCGCAAAAGTGGATCACATGACCCCGGGGACTCTGCCACAGTCATAAATACGAACCAGTTGCCAAGCGTCTGAATTTTGATCAAATGACCATGGGGATATGCAACAAGGATCATTAAGTGTGAAAAAGTGGTCATAAGTCACTTTTTTCAGTGCCGTTATAACTTTGAACGGTCATTAAATGAATGTTTGTAAGTAGAGGACTACCCTGTATAATGGGCTCACTGAAAGATTGCCACATTCATTTAACGACCGTGGTGTTTGCTTAACAACCATTGTGAAAAGATAATAAAATCAGGCACAAGTCATGTGGCCTCCTGCTTAAAGAGAGTCCCGACTTAGGACCACAATTCCAGGCTCAATTATGGTCGTGATTTTAGGACCAGTTTTCCCGTTTAAGGAGAGTCCCAATTTACGACAATAATTTCGGGCTCGATTACGATTGTTAGTTTAAGACCACCTGTAGAATGGTATCGTACATCCCTCTTGCATCTAACATGAGTTCCTTTCTTTTCAATCTCCCTCCCTGCCCCTCCTCAGTCGATCTTAGGGGTGCAATGCGAAGTGCAGAAACAGCTGAAGGCCTTTGTCACGTTGGAGAGCTTTGAACAGATCTACACGTCGAGCATCGCCGGGTGCCAGGAAATCAAGGAGAACCGCCATTTTGCCTCGGGAGACTCCATCATCGGCAAGGGGGTCAAATTTGCCATGAAAGATGGGCGGGTGGCCACCGATATCATTAGCAGCGCCAACGAGGACGGGCGGAGAGTCGCCGCCATCCTCAACAACGCCTATTACCTGGAGAACTTGCACTTCACCGTCGACGGCACCGACACCCACTACTTTGTCAAGCCAGGGCCGTCGGAGAGCGACTTGTCGATCCTCGGCCTCAGCGGGGGACGGCGAACCTTGGAGAACGGTGTCAACGTCACCGTCTCTCAAATCAACACCGTGCTCAGCGGGAGGACTAGACGCTACACGGACATCTCGCTCCAGTTCGGAGCCCTGTGCCTCAACACCCGATACGGGACCACGTTAGACGAGGAGAAGACCCGTGTCTTGGAATTGGCCCGGCAACGGGCCGTGGCTCACGCCTGGGCCCGGGAGCAACAGAGACTGCAGGATGGGGAGGAGGGTAGCCGGTCCTGGACAGAGGGGGAGAAGCAGCAACTGCTGAACACGGGACTCGTTCAGGGGTACGACGGCTACTTCGTCATCTCCGCCGAACAATATCCAGAACTGTCCGACAGCGCAAACAATATCCATTTTATGCGACAGAGCGAGATGGGGAGAAGGTGACAGAGAGGGGACGATGCGTTGACTTCTTGCCAAAGACAGCTGCTTGAGACTGTGATGTACTTGAGCCTTCGTTTTTTTTTTTCTAAACAAAAAGAAAAACAAACAGACACACGCAAAAGAACTTTACGGAAAACAGGCAAGGTGGAGGAAGAACATGGTGGCACCATAGCTCAGGCAACATCCTTTATTTTAGATAAATTTTTTTTGTTTGTTTTTAAAGTGGCTTTCTCACCTTTGGCTGTTATTCCTTCCCCCCTTTCTCGGCTCCTATCCGTCTTCTCTTTTTTCGAAGTGTCATTTCGCCATTGTGTGTGAGCCCCTTGTGCAAAAAGGCTTGAAGGTTGGGGAGGTGTTGGGTTTAAATCCCCTGGTTACTTGTTCGTTGGTTTTCTTTCGTTGTGTTTCTTTTTTTCTTTTTTCTTTTTTAACGGGGTGAAGAAAAGAGGGGAAAAAAGAGCCTCTGTATTAGGTTTGGGTTAACCTTTCCTAGTGGGGTTGGAGAAAAAATAAATAAATAAGAGGATTTATGAGGAACGAAAACAGGAAGAAGAAGGAGGAGGCATCGTGGCGAAGAAAAATTCACAATTTCCTGCAACGCCATGCGGAAAAACTGGAGATGGAGAGGGAAACCCGTCCAGGTCCGAAATGGCCCTTCAAACATTTTGTGAGCCTCAAAACAAGTACTTATGGGGTCGTTTTTACATTTGCCATTCTTTCTGGCTAAACCCTGCAGTTTTCGGGTGATTTGCAGAAAGTAGGCCAAAACCGCTGCATCTTAAAGACTCGTAAGCTCGATCCTTTCTCTTTTTTAAATTTTTATTTTTAAATGGGTCTTTTTTTTTTTTTACTACGATAGGCTATTTTGTTCACCGGTTTGTTTTCTGCTGTCGTGTGACAGAGGACGTGTCTTTTTTTTTGTCATTCGGGAAAAAAAAACACCCCATAGCAGCTATCGGAGCGGAGTGGGGAAGAACAAAAAAAAAGAAAAAAGGAAAATCACACTATTGCTGCACATACTGTTAGATGGGAAACACCAATGATGTATATTTGTCAACAGTAAACCCTCCTTAAATATATAGTATTTCTGTACACCAAGTGAAGCGTGTTTAACTTTTGAGGATGCCACCTCTTCGCTGACCATGGAGGTTTTGTCTAGAGTTAGGGTCATCCTTAATAATGAAATCTCAATTCCTCCTAAAAGATATATATATATATATATTTTCAGAGCCAGGTTAGATACCGATGTGAGAGATACAGCAAGCGCCTCCTATTTGATTTGACTTTTTAAATTTTATTTTAATGAAGCATCTTAGTAGATAAAGAGATGCTTCGTTCTTTCTCCACGGGCCACTTCTACCAAAATGGTCTTTCTTCAGTGCTGGGATGGTTTTTAAGAAGGTTAGGGTTGGGGGCAGAGGGTCCGTAAGGAAATAGACAACATGTCGAACCGTCTTCAACCTGTTGCCAAACTAAAACCAAACCCAAACATTTGGCTTCGATGAATTTGATAGCTCTCTCCAGTCCTACCTTGTTTGCCCGAAAATAAGACCCAACTGGGAAAAAAAAATCCAATAATGACTTATTTCATGCTAGGACTTATTTTCAGGATGCTCGTAATATAAGCCCTACCCTCCAAAATAAGCCCCAGTTAAGATTGTCAGCCAGATGGATGCATTTAGTACCGTATTTCCCCCAAAAAATAAGACCTAACCCGAAAATAAGCCCTAATGCGTCTTTTGGAGTAAAAATTAATATAAGACCCGGTCTTATTTTTGGGGAAACACAGTACCTACGTTGACTTTTCAACTACAAAAATCAGATTCTCTATGCTTGCTTTCAGGAGTGTAGCCCCATGGGTCTACGACAATTTGCCGCAAGCCATTCGCCGTGGCCAACTCACCATGGGAAAATTCACTGCGGGACAAGAGTTATCCTAATATCAAAAAAAAAAAAAAGGTGCAATAGAACCATTAAAGAAAGGATACAAAAGAAGAGACCGGATGACACGTGAATGGCAGAAGTTAAAATATTTTTTCATTTATTTTTAAATCATTAAATAGAATTCTTAAATTGTCTCGCGGCGAGTGGTCCCACGACAAGTTGGCTGTGGGGAGTTGGCCCGTTCCATACCTACAATTTGGAGGAAGCAGTTTGTTGATTTAATATCATCTTGTGAAAAGTTCCAGAAGTTTTCCAAAAGGCAACTAGACTTTTTTGTCCCCTCACGGTTAGATTATTGCAACGCGCTCTACATGGGGCTACCCTTGAAAAGTGTTCGGAGACTACAGTTGGTCCAGAATGCATCAGAGGTGCGTTTCAGCTGGTTCTGACCAGTTCTGGAGAACCGATAGCGGAAATTTTGAGTAGTTCGGAGAACCGGTAGTAAAAATTCTGACCGGCCCTGCCCACATCTATTCTCTGCCTCCCGAGTCCCAGCTGATTGGGAGGAAATGAGGATTTTGCAATAAGCTTCCCCTGGAGTGGGGTGGAAATGAAGATAGATAGATAGATAGATAGATAGATAGATAGATAGATAGATAGATAGATAGATAGATAGATAGATAGATAGATAGATGGATGGATGGATGGATGGATGGATGGATGGATGGATGGATGGATGGATGGATGGACGGATGGACGGATGGACGGATGTCCCAGCTGATTGGGAGGAAATGGGAATTTTGCAGTATCCTTCCCTGCCACGTCCACCAAGCCACGCCCACAGAACCGGTAGTAAAACAATTTGAAATCCACCACTGCTTCTCATCCAAAAAGCTTCTTCAGTTCTCTTCATGGTTGCCCCAAAGGTGCTTTTTCCAAAAAGGCATCTGGACTTTCTCAGTTTCTTCAGAACTTAAAGAAGCTTCTCGGATGAGAAGCGAAACGTTTTCAAAAGACAAGAAAAAAAAACAAAAACAAGGAAGTCCGGTTGCCTTTTGGAAAAAGCAACTTTTGGACAACCAGGCCCTGGATGATTGAAAATCTCCATAGACATCTTGCAAAAACAGGATTAAATTTAGGGCATTAGGAAACAAGAACATCTTAGCTAGAGAAGGACGGTGTCCTGCATCCAGCTGCATTCTGTCCCACGATTTCAAAACTGGGATGGCTTTTACAGGTAGTCCTCAATTTACGGCCATCATTGAGCCCAAAATTTACGTTGCTGAGTGAGAAATTTGTTGAGGGAGTTTTGTCCCCATTTTACGACCTTTCTCGCCACATTTGTTAAGTGAAATCACTGCAGTTCTTAAAATCAGCAACACGGTTTGTTAAGTGAATGGGCTTCCCCCATTAACTCTGCTTGTCAGAAGGTCGTAAAATAGGGATCCCGTGATCCGATACCACAACCGTCGTAAATGCAAGTCAGTGGTCAAGCAGTCGAACGTAAGTCACGTGACCTGCTGCTGCAATGGTTGTAAAGTGTGAAAAACGGTCATAAGTCACTTTTTTCAGTGTCGTGAACAGTCACTAAGTGAATTTGTTGCAAGTCGAGGACTAACTGTACTGCTCTCGGCAAAGAAAATCTATTCCCCGGGACTGCTGGAAATAGTGTTACCCAGATGTGCCTGGATCAGTTGCTTTTGTGTATAAATTATTTCCATCCAACATAAAGAGATTTCCAAAGACTCTGATGCAGTTGTGAGATAGGGCTAGCCAAATGGAAACATCTGGAGATGAGTGGCAGTGGGTGAGCTGAAGGGCAGGCATGACAGAAATGTTAAGCAGATGCTGTCCTCTCTTCTTCTTCTTTTTCTTCATCTCAACTTCATAGTTTTACATTGTTTTTCACACAGAAACCCCCATGGATACTTAAAGCTTTCCGAGTAGAACCGCGAGGCTTCGTATCGTGAGATTAAAATCTATCCAAAGCTGCTTCTATTTTAAAAAAATCCCAATTTCCTGATAGATGTATCAAGGTGAACTGCATATATATAAATGAAAATTCTTACAATGGGAAGAAACATGTTCTTTCTACACTAAAGGAAGACCTTATCAATCCAGGTTTTGGGGCTGAGCGAAAGAAAATGTGTGTTTGAGTACGACAAGAAGAAAGGTTACCCCAAGATAGCTTTTTTAATTAGTTTTTCTTGAGACCAAGTACACATCATCCCTGTGTGACTTCTAAAAATGACGTTTTTGGAATGAAAAACTCTCTTTAACCCACCCACAGTAGTGGCCAAAATTGTGGAAACCTTTTGGGAAAAGTGTATTTTCTCAAACTAGCTAATAACACCACTTTTTTGGGGGGAGTAATACCATAAAATTATATATCAATGGAAACATAATTTAATCAAGAATGTAATGCAATACCTTTTATGAAGGATTTGCTATCAGAAGAGCAGTTATAGTATAAAGAAGAAAAGTGAAACACGTAGAAAAAACAAGATATACAAAAATGATCACCATAGAAAAAAACGAGATATACAAAAATGATCCCCATGTCAGTTAATTCTTAATTGGGTAACCTTTAGCATGAATTACAGCCTTACAACCTCTTCCCATGGAGTGAACCAAGTCTTAGTTCTGCAGCTGTTCTAATGTGAAACCAAGATGGAATGATGGCTTCTATTAACTGGGTTTTATTGCTGGGTCGCTTCCGACTAACAAGTTTCTTTAGTCGGCTCCTTAGATTTTCAATTGGGTGAAGGTCTGGGCTATTCCCAGGCCATTCCAGCAATGGACTAGGATTATCTTGAAACTCCCCCAAAAAAGTGATGTTATTAGCCATCAAACCTCAAAAATACACTTTTCCCAAAAGATTTCCACGATTTTGGCCACTACTGTACAAGAAACCAGAGTGCTAGTTGTTGCTGCTTGTTTCCAGATACATTTAACCAGGTTTCAACCCACGTGGCTATAGGTTGGGAAATGGAGAATTAAAATCCAAAAATCCAGGAGGAACCCAAGTTTTGTTAACAGTTGTGACGCTTGATTTTATCAGATAAAGATGCTGACTGCAGGATAAGTGTGCAACAAAATATGAGCGTTATCCTATCCAAGTAAATAAATAGGTGACGGACACCCAGTGATCCCTGAAGACTAAGCTAGAACTTTTCAAGAGTCACTGAATTAAAACTTGAGTTTTTGAGAAGTCTATGGTTTCATGACTTGGTTCCTTGTGGACAACCAGAATAATTTGGTTAAAATTTGGGGAACTGTGATAAACGATCGCGAAGGATTTCAACCTGTTCAGCTAAGACCTCCAAAAACATACTTCGGCATTTGTCTATTCAGCGCCTGGGGCAATTTTCCTTTTCTAGACTTGGCAACTTTTTACAAAGATGGCACTTCCAGATTTTGCATGTCAGGGGTATATCTAGGCCAGTGGTGAAATCCAATTTTTTTTTACTACCAGTTCTGTGGGCGTGGCTTGATAGGCGTGGTATGGCTTGGTAGGCGTGGCAGGGGAAGGAAACTGCAAAATCCCCATTCCCTCCACACTCCTGGGGGAAAAATATTGCAAAATCTCCATTCCAGAGTCTAGTACAGTGTTTCTCAACCTTGGCAACTTTTAAGATGTGTGGACTTCAACTCCTAGAATTCTCCGGCCAGAAAATAAAGCAAAATTTATTTTAAAAGAGGCAAAAAAGAAATGCAATAGAAGCTTGAATAGCAATTTATAGTTTGGCTTCCGTCTCAGACGTTATCATGAATAAAAATCAGGAGTTCCTATGAGAGGAGTTTGGCACAATTACAGTAGTTTAGCGTGGTTTAGTGCTACTTCTGTGGCATACTCATTGTTCTTCCTACATAGCAGGAACTCTTTCACATGGGCTGTTAAGGAACCAAAATAATCCCTGTTGTTACTCGTTTTCAGTCCTAGAACACACAATATTTCTCCACTAGAATTGCCAAAACAGATCACAATAGTGGTATTTTTCCTCATCATTGCTTCTTGCATGTCCCTGCTAAAAAAAAACATGGATTTGATTAAACTAACATTTGTTAGAGTGATTCTCCCCAATCCTAGCTCATTTGAATATTGGGATTGAGCTAGTACTTGTAGTAGGAGTTGCGAGTAACAATTACTTCAGGGTATCCAGTCTTGGCAACTTTAAGACTTGTGGATTTCAACTCCCAGAATTCTC